CAATTTTGAGAATCCTCTGAATAAAATTCTTGGAAGTATCGTGCAAATAACTGCGGTTCGCCTAAATAAAGCGCACTTGTACATGCAGTGCTTTATTACAGGCAATGAACCGTTGCTTAATTATTAGTAATGATGAATGCGACCGTTAGGGTCATCTGTCGATGCTTTGGTAGAATAAAGCATTGCATTTTGTATAAGTGGCATGTTTTCCAAAGTGGCAAAGTAGGAAATTACATACATTATGTTAATATATATCACATACATTTTATAAATAGGAGATTTTTCAGCTTTGGAAACTTTATTAAAAAAGAAATTTAATATTATTTAATTTTGACCTTCTAAAACTTCTTTCTCATTTTCAATAAGAACAAAGTTGAAAAAAGTTATAAAAAGTCTTTTATATAATATTTTATTCTTATTGAAGCTGCGAAAAAAGTTTCAGAAGATGAAAATTAAATAATATTAAAGTTTTCTTCTTCTTGCCCCGAATTTAAGATAACGCTTTGCTACACGTATATGTTTCTTCAGACCACATCTCATAACGTGTATAAAGAAGAGAGATATAAATTGGGAAAGAAACGAGAGACAAGAGTGTACGGCTCATTATTGTGTCATGTATTTCCTTTCACATCGAGTGCACTGTTACCGATATCGCTTTTACAACTTTTCATACAAAAGAATGATTCGATGATGAGCGCTGTCGCAAAAATTCGCCGCGTGCCCCCGCGAGTTCCACTCTCGGAGGCTGCATGACTACTCTCGACAGCGAAACTCTCGAGACCGCGTGCGTATCTGGACCTCTTCTATCGATCGTAATCTCGCACGCGCGTCAATTATTCCGATTACCTCCTTATCAGTACACTTAATATCTCAGATATAGATCTTTCAGCGTGATCCACCTTGTTTTCCCTCCTTCGTGTGAATATCATACAAAAGACTAAGACTATATATATATATGCAAATGTCTCTTATAATTATATCTCGTTATCATGTACGAACGTAATTGTTAATGTAATGCGCGGCGGTACTTCCCGTGTGTGCTATCTTAATCGTTAAGTTAATTTACAAAATTCGAGCCTATCGATACCTAATCGACGAACACAGAGACGACGGTGGATCGCGTCCTTCCGCTAAAAAAATCGCGGATCGTAAAGTTCCAATAGAAAAAAAAGAGATAAAGAAAGCAATTCCAATCGCTCTTTACTCGACACAGGTGCAACGTAAATCTATAATAATTAGAGTAAATCGTATTGCAGCTCGATGCACGCCGTTGCTCTCGAGTAGCATCGATCCGGCGTCTCCCTCGATAAACGTTTTCTACATTACTACTACTGAATAATCGTTTTCTTTCTTTCCTTGCGTTTTTAACCGCCGTCTCTTCTGATCCTCGCGGATCCTCTCAGACACATAACACACGTCACGCACACGTCCTCACAGGGGGCACGCACCTCTGCCATTCGCGCAACACGTTCCAGCCGATGATGGTGCATGTACACCCGCTAAATTAAAATCTCACTTGGAAGGGAATACCTCGAATATATCTTGTTGCGAAACCGTTTGCACGCTTTACAATCCCCTTTTTTTAGGAAACGCGTTAAGAGGAAGGATCAAGTGGGTCCGGGTCCAATTTCAAAGATAATTCGAAAGATAATTTGACTCTTCAAGGATAACGCGAATCGCGATAACTAATTGATTAATCTTAACGTTATACATATCTTCTATCTTCTCCACACATTGTACTTATTACAAAAATTATATTGCAATTAGAAAGATAGATCACATACGCAAATAAATGTTTAATCGCAAATAAATGACTTAATCGTGATTAAGTCAAAATTACGTTTTATTTTAATTATCTTTCAGAGAATTTATATTTCGTCGGCGATTTACAATTCGAGATGTTTCCCTATTAATCAAAATGTGATAACGATGGAAAGACAGGAATAAGGATCACCCTACGCTATTCACATCTTTAAAATTTTATATAAATAAATTTTATATATATAGTCACATGAACAACTAACTGTATTGTTTCCTTTATATGTTTCTATTATATTTTCTCACTGATCTTTGATGTAAGAGAAGCCTTATAATTAATAAAAATTTTTTACTTTAAAGATATAATATTACGGTGTCTCTTGGACGACTTTAGCAATAATGAATTAGGCCACGTACATATATTAATTAATACGTACATTTTTTTCTGTTTTAAAAAAGAGATTTGATTGCAACGAATTGAAAAGAACCATCAAGCAGGTTGTGCGAATATCGCAGAGTGATCAAAAGTCAAATTTATTCATTACCCTTCCTCTCGCATCTGTATAGGCCTCGCTTTTTAATCTTTAACGCAATCTTGCACGCATGCGACACCGGTGGGAACTTCACAGTATCAAGTTTAATTAAATTACCGCTTTGCAAATAGCCGAGCGTATTATCCGCGTATCGAACCTCAGTCGCACTGGTGAATAACCCAGCGCCACCCTTCCTGGCCGCGACAGGGGTGGTCCGATGGACCCCGCGAGACGTTTCGTCTCGCGTCAAAGGCGGACCGTCGCCTCCTACTCCGGATGAGCAGTTTCCTCCTGTCCTGTTCGTCTCGCGAACGTAGAAAATTTTAAATGTAAAAATAGAGTTACATTTGCAGCCGACGACGACGGTCGGCGCAAAGGAGTGGAGAGTTCGTCCCCGGGCGAGATTCTCTGAGAGAGAAGTCGCGCGTGGACCAGGAAGAGTCGGCGCCGTTCACCCGATTTATCAAAAAGGAATTGTGTTACCATGCTAGTTAACGGCGATTAATATGCGTCTCGAGTGTGCGTATTCGAGTACCTTATTTCCGAGTAGCTACCACTCTTTCTCTCCTCGAATGCGAATTGTAAAGTTAATTCGACGAGAACATTAGTTCCGTTACTATTACAGACGATAAAAGAATATTATTCTTGGCTACGCTATACAATTGTGGAAATATCGTTCAAGATTCGGTATTTCGCATCGTGTCGTTCCGCTTGAAACCGCGCTGCGAATTCATGAAGGAACATAATTTCCAATTAAGGAACAGTCACGAAATTATTGCCCATAAATTGCCTTTCTTTTTTTCTAAAGACATGTACAGTTGTTTATTACGTAAAACACTTGTAAAAAATAAGATAAAAAAATAAAATTAATGATGTGACGGGAGTTCATTATGGAATAAATTAAATTCTTCAGCTTGGAGCTTCAGCGATTGGACTAAAAACTCGTGTATTAGGATAGAAAATACATTTTAATTCCTATTACAAAAATGAATTGTTTTAATTCCATAAAACAAAAGGATTGGAAAACAGAAGATATGGGAAAAAATGTAAGATTTCTCTAATTTAAAGAAAAAGCTTCGAAATTTCAGATCGATTGTTCGGTCTCTCTTGACTCGTCTCTTCTCTTAGGGCTACTTTGTGCATTCTGAACCGGAAACGAGTACGAATCTCCTTTGCGCGTCATTCAGTGTCTCTCGTTAATACAAATTTAATTCTAGTCTTAATCGATTAACTTTTCGCTGATCTATAGTTAAGAAGTACGTCGGTTGAATCTCGCGTCTCACCGAGAGGTCTCTGGCGGAATGGTCTCTCTCGCTAATCTCTACGTCAAGACTGAAACGATCGCACGAGAATCGCGGTGGTCGGTAGACGGAGGAGAAAGGTTTCGAAATACCGATCCGACCCGAACGAAATTCTCGTGAAGAACTCGGGATGGTATGTCGATATGGATCGCGCGCGAAGAATTGTCAAGTGCTATCAGCAGGGCTCCTGTTTCGTCGCCTCTTCTCACAGTCGCATCTTGTCGATTAGGCGTTCAGAGATTACGGATTAACTCGTGAGAGACAAACGACGAAACTACGACTGATCGCAGGTCGTCGGACTTACCGTCCGCGTGACGTGTATCGTAACGCTATAATACAATAAACGTGGCGCAATGAAATAAAATACTAAGCGTGGAAGGTACGCGCGTTTGCAGTAGCAGTCGGAGACGACAATTGCCCGACTCGCAACACTTTTAAGTTACTGATCGATCAAATCGACGCTTTAACGTTATCTGCTGTAAATAAGAGGAAGCCGTGATTAATGAGTCGGGTGAATAAACGTGCTGTAAATGTATAGCAAAGACGATAAAAAATCTTTCAAAATGATTATTATTAATTAATATAATATATGATATAATAATTATATCACATTATTAATAATTATGTTTTCGCTGATAAAAAAAACAAATTGTATTAAATTCTGTGTATTTGCTTCTTTTTATTCACACGACTCTTTCTCGTTTCGCAGTCATTTGCGTCGCTGCTGTTCGTGAGTCTAATGTCTAACTGAAGGAGAGTTACAGAATAATATTACGACGGGTATTAATAATTAAAAATGGAACGAAACGTCGCGTGACCCTGCGGAGAACGCACGTATAACAACAGGTATATTGTTGAGAGGGAGCACGAAACAAGTATTGTCACACCATTCATCGATACAAATAGTAACAGCGATAGGCGATAGTGTAACAATGTATATATATATTTATATATATTTATAAATACAGGCGGCGAGTGTCCCCCCTATCTTTTTAGAGGCTCTCTATCAACTACAACATAACTGAAGCGAGTTATTCATGCGATAACGACTAAAAACTAACGTGTCTATTTGTCGCGTAATAAGGCGGAACACATTCATCCAGCGTGTTTAACATTAAAATGAGTCCTCCAATGTGAATCACGCAATAACGTCGAAGTCAGATTCCTTGAAAATTCAGAATTCTCTTCCTGCTAGTCTTGAGTGTAAACTATTTTACAAAAGAGATAAAAGATTCTTTAAAATAAGAAAAATAAAATTATATTAAACAAGTACAAGTACAAAAAAAGCTTCGTCAATGATTCAACTTTTATACTAATTATGCCAATTTCATTTCTACCCTTGTAAAATTTGGCGGAAAATCGTAATTTAACAATTTCGCATACAATTAAAATGATTACAATTTTAATAGTAATTTTAGAAATCAGACGCGTTACTTCATGTCTCTCATTTCGGAGGGTCTCCGATTGGAAAAATGGAATGAGACGGATTCCTGCGTAGAAGGAAAGAAAAAAAGGAAATAATGGGGACGCGGTGCGAATCGTAATTAACCTGATTGTCTTCTGCCTCCTGCAAAAGGTCGGCGTTATGGCTTGGCAGCGCACGTGCTGAAGCTTAAACTTGACTAGAACTAAACGAACGTGCGGAGGAATAAACATATAATTCTGTTTTTTTTCCTTTCTCTCCCTCTTTCTCTCTTATCGCTTAATCTACAATTTTACTTTTTTCACTTTTATATCGACCTCACCAATTTTTCGCCTTTTCGTCTTTTCTCGCAGGGCCGGGCGGTATTTCGAACACGCGCTAATCAGCGAACACGCATCAAGTCGCGATCTGCATTTTACATTCTGAATCATATTCTCATGTCGAATCGTCATCTCTGTGCCTCGTTTCCGAAATATATCTTTCGAATATTTTAGGTTTAGAAAAGAATAGTTTGCCCAGCCCGTCCGGTATTCGATTTAAGTCACGAACATAATTTTCGTGTCATCACGCGTGAAAAAAAGCACATCGCATATATGTGTATATCGTATACGTATTAGAAATTTTCTATCAAATATGAAAAGCAAAAAAAAAATAGAAAAGAGAACGACCGCCTCTCTACAGTGATATTACGATTCACAGGGAAATCTAAACGTTGTGCAAACGAGGTATGTGCTTTAGTCGCGTATATCCAAACTGAATAAGACTATCAGTCTTTTTTCCTTTTAGAAAAGAAATCAGCGCACGCGTCATACGCGTAATATATCGTAATAATAACGGATATATTGTTGAAGAACATATAAATATACGCAACGCGCTTACAATCGCTAATGACAGATCGTAAAACAGCGGATGTCTCGCGTCGTTGCGAAAAAGACGCTTTCTTCCGAAGGTCTTTCCGAAGTAAACAAAGATAATTGCATTTTTTAGCTCATCTTCATTTTCGCTCGCTTCGAAACGGAATGTCCTGCAAACGCCAGGGAACCTCGGAGAAGTTTTCGCGATCGGTTCACGAATTGTGCGAATAATCATGATGAGCTCTCTCGTCACTTAGCTTTAATTGAAAGATTCGCAAGAGTGAAGAGGTTCGGAGTTATAGCCCGCGTCTCATATATTTGTTCAGAAAAATGAATTCATACCTATACAAGTTATATCCGTCCGTTCCTGTGTCAGTCCTTCGCTGAACAGCCGTATGGAGGATACCGACAAGAACACCCCTATCTGCTCAACATCGGATTTCGATATCAAAACTTTTTGTCACACTGTGGATACATTACTAGCTCTGTGGCTAAATCGTTAGATTACCGATAAAAATAAGCTTCTGTAACGGTTTTGTGACAACGTCACGCACTGCACTTTGCGGTTCTCACGAACAACGTCGGAAATCCACGTGATGATACCACGACGAGTCGATTTCTAGTTAATCTCCAGTCAATGCTCCTCTTCCACACTTAACTTATAGTCAGCACATGTAAAATTTGCGGATATATTATGTACAAATAGTCTCTAGATCCGCGTTGTACATCCGCTTGTCTAGACGACGATGATGACGATAATGGATGAGGATGATACCGATGATTTTTTTATCGATGTTTATTCATCTTTGGTTGGGGCAATGTACGTTTGTTCGAACGTTTGTGGATCCTTGGACACCTGTCACGGAACTTTCTCACGCACATGTCCGCCCAAACAATATTTAGAACAGTCTAGTCTCGCTCTTGCCAGTTTTCAAGCATTATGACGCCGTTTCCTCATCGGCCAAATTGTGAAGATCCGAGTAATTCACGATGGCACGATGCAGAAACTCATATTGCGCCTGCAACACGCACAATGACAAACATTACACAAAATACAATTACAATATGATATAAAATACAATAAATAACAAAATATATGATATTGTATTATAATTCTTAAATTTGCAATTAATTATTTCATCATAAATAGTTGAGCTTTGTTGAAAAAAAGTAATGATAAAGAATACAAAAATATATATATAATGTTTAAATATTTCAATTGTTACTGTTATTGTAGTAACTGTAATTGTTTGTTACTTTATATATTTTAATTGTGTTGCAATATATCAAGAGTATTGCCTAATTTTTAAATAAAATATCCAACTTTTAGTCAAAATTCATAGAAAATATCCAATTTTTTGTTACAACACAATCGATATGAAGAAAGTTATGAAAATACTTACAAAGGTGCTGATCATGCCGTGTCGCTGAGAGCGCAATTTCTTCGTCGTTGTGAAAATATCCACGCGCTTCTCAGTGCGCAGCTGCTGGACCAGTATGCTAAGTGCCACGAACATGGAACTCCGATCTGATCCGTAGCTGCAGTGCACGGCCAGTGAGCCGCTCGTCTCGGTGTCGTTCGTCAGCGTCTGGTCTACCAGTTCTATGAGACCGCGCGTCACCTCAGGTACTTCACCCTCCACCGTCGGCCAGCCGTGATACTGATACTGCTTCACGACCCCGCTCTCGTCAGTCTTCGTGTTCAAAATGCAAAACTCGCGACGCGTGTAATATGGACAACTCTCGCTGTGGATGTAACGGACCCTTATATGATCGTAGTCGGTCTCATCGTCAGGCCAGTACCGTGGACATTTCCGCGGGCCTTCGTTCAACTGAAAAAGATATTATATATTTTATACACGATTATATAGGATATTTATTCTGATATCAAATATCTTTTCTAAAAGTACGCATGCTTCGCTCTTATCGAAATCGGGGACTCTGACACTTCTTTCACCCGATTATAGAATTTCATGTATCTTGTGTCATTATGAAGTAATCTCAGGAATATTGTTATATGTTTGTAAGAAATTAACATCGTTTACTTATTACTTAAGATACTATTGTGTTGATTAAATTTTATTGGAATACTCTTTATATATATAAAGCAATGTATAAACAAGTTTTCAATAAAGAATATATCGTCAATTAATTCCCTAAAACTTTGCTGTATGAAATTGCATACCATGTATATTATGTTAACGCAATGTTCATACATGTATCACTTCTTGCAAAAATTAGGACAAATTCAACAAAACCAATATCTTCATTAAATGCAATAAAAAAATTTAGAAAAAAATATGTATACTTACGTCCGACAACATAACTATCGTAGTGATGCATTGTTCCGAGATCATTCGCCAGAAATCCGTTATGGTGGTCTCCAGTGGATCTTGGGTAATGACAAACGACTCGGAATTATCATAGCCTTCGATGAACGATGCGTTTATGTATGTCGAATGTTCCCTTCCCGGAACTGGGGTGAGTATCACGCGATTTCTATCATATGGTATCACCATTTCGCTTCGATTCTTCGATCTATTTTCATCTCCACCGCCAACAGAGAAAGATTTCCGATCTTCCAACACGGAACTGATTTTCTATTAACAAAAATTATACGTATAACATAAATATGAGAGAGAAATGTTCGTTTCTCAATAAAACTGTTGGGGAAATATAAAAGTGTTGTAACGTGTTCATCGAATAAACTATAATATGTATGGTCTATTCACTCTATTCTACTTTATTGGATATTGGTTATTCAAAATGTATGATCGCTTTTTCACAAGTGATTCGTTAACCCGTTCAGTACACAAGTAGAACACGCCGAAAAAAAGATTTACAAAATAAAAGCGAGACAAACTGGTACAGCAAACAATTCTGATATGAACGATATTTGTAAGAATAATTTTGGCACATATAACAATTTAATTTGCAGATCTCAAATAAAGACAAAATCAAGTTGATAGAAAAAGTGAAAACAATTTGTGGCATTCAATTTTGGCCTGTAACTTACATCATACTCCTCCTCCATCCTGCACTTCTCCTTCCCGTTGTCCCGCTGTCTCAGTTTGGCGACCGTGGTCTTGAGCTGCGCTGCCGGGATCTCCGTGTCGCCGTACTGCGCCATCTCCATAAGCGCGCGATAGATGAAGATGTATTGCTTAAGTGATTGCACGAGAAAGTTGCGCTGATGCCGCAGGTCGCACACAGTATTGAAGATGGATACCTGGCCTTCCTCGGCCAGCTGCTGCAGCAGGGAATCTAATGCCACGAGCGTGCCGGTGCGGCCCACACCGGCGCTGCAGTGCACTAGGATCGGCCCCTTTTCAAGCGAGTACGCCTCGTTGACGCGCTTGATGAAGCGTAAAATCGCGTGCGGATGCTCAGGGGCGACAAAGTCCTTCCACACGAGGAAGTGATACTGTACGATCGCGCGGGCGTCGCGCTCGCCCAGCCGCGTCATCTTCAACTCGCGCACTACGTAGTCCGAGTAGGCGCGCTCTTTAACGTGCTCCACCGTGATGTCGCCGAAGTTTTTGGTCTCGCGCTTGTCCGGCCAGTACTTGGCGCACTTGGTCTTCGAATATTCCTCAAGATTCGTCAGCATGAGGATCAGCTCGAGATGCTGCTCCCAGATCATGCGCCAATAGTCGCACACAGTGTTCTCCATCGGGCCCTGGGCGCAGATGAACTTCTTGCGTTCCTTGTAGCCCAGCACAAAGTTGGCATTGATGTAATCAGAGCCGCAGATACCGTCCATCTGCGCCAAGCGTACCCTTGTCTGATCGTAACACTTGATGTCCGGATAACGATTCTTGTAGAGGTTCTCCTGCGCTTCGGACGCGCGCGTTGTTCTGTCCGTGAATCGGTCGGGTAGCAGTTCAAATTCGTGTTGGAAACCATAATCTGAGTCCCGATGGCGTTCCAAGTACGCCTGCAACAACTCGCCCTTGGGTATGGGCGGCATGTCCGGTGGACTCGCTGCCACGAGTTGATGCCTACCTCTCAGGCTTCTACAAAGATGTCTAGAAAAAGGACATCCATTGAGATACTAATACGAATAATTGATATTATTTAATAGAAATTGTGTAATTATACAGAAAAAAACTTATTATATACTTTAAGTTTTTATATGCATTCTATTATGTTTCTGTGACAACAGCTTTTAATTTTAAAAAAGTCTTTTAAGAATAAGGCTGTTAAAACAAAAAGCTTTTATAATTTAAATAATATTAATAAAATAATTTACGTAATAGAATATTCGTATAAAAATCTATTTAAAAGATAAAATCGCGTTTTTCTAGAACTCACCTGAAACTATTGCGCAGCGTTATGACTTCCTCCCTCTCTTGGGCACGTTTTGTAAATCTATACAACACGCAGAGCGCAATAAACAGAATTGTGAGGGTTAAAATGAGGGCGATGAAGAGCTGTATTATCATTTCTCTGACAGTAGTCGCTTCCGCGGCCGTTACGCTGAGAGGATCCACTCCGCCGTAAAGGGGATTAAAGTAACTACTATAAGCCGGTAGAAGCTGATCCTTTTCATGATCGAATACTGCAAAAAATCAACCATCATCCAATGCGCTACCAAACTTGAAGTTTCAGCAAATCCACTGACACTCGTACATACCGATAACTTCGATGAAACCAGTATAGTTCGATGTTTCATCGAGAAAACCATCGTAAGGCGATAACATGCTAAGTTCTCCGGATCCGTCTACGGATGCCTTTTGCAGCGGCGTGTCTTCTCTCTTCCGTCTCTCCGCTTTTTCCGTGGCATTAATAATCATAGGCACAGCCGTGGTTGTATCAATTTTCGTGGTGTCAATAACGGTCGTCGTTGATGTGGTAGAGGAGCTGGTAGTCGTGCTGCTACCACTGTTATTCACAGTTGTCGCCGATGTCGATGTAGTTATCGTTGTGCTGGTAACGGTACTGCTTATGTTACTCGAGATTGAAGTGGTAGTCGACGGGATTTCCGGAACAAAATGTAACAATGGTGGTGCCGGTTTGGGTCGCAGACCGACGCATTTGTCGCACATAGCACCGCCATTAGACGACTCGCCGTCGCCGAGGAAGATATCAGTTAACAACTGATCGCTGTCGAATGTCTCGGCGACGTAGGCACCGCCGGTAGGCGAGCTGTGCACGTATTGATAAGAGTACACTGCGATCTCCTCAGGTGGTGGCAGATCGCTGACCGTCTTGTGCGGCGGTAGTTTCACCAGGTAGACGCGGTAGCAGCAGATTGGGCCGTTCCGCTCGGAGATGCGCGGTAGATAGAGCTTGAACAACTGTCTACCTTGGCTCTCGATCTTCCGCCAGCTGCGCATGTTCATATTGTCGCGATCCGGAATCGCGACTGGAGTCGTACAGTTTCCTACGGCGTCCTTGCCAGGAGTGCGAGACCTTGTCACTCCGTGCACCCGAACCTTCAAGCATTTATTTTTAGCACGGAAATTGATATTATTGTACGATAATTTAAAGTTAGAAATTATTCTAATTAAATGAAATAACTTAGAAAATATTATTCTGATAAAAATAATAGGAAGAATGATTTAAGCTTGAATAATTAGCTATATACCGTATAATTCGTATTGGGAGGTATCTTATTGTAATGCGTGCTGTTCCTCTGATAGACGCTCCAGCTGGGCGGTTCAAAACTGTGGATGTCCAGACGTCCCATGTCGTTCTTGAATCTTGCCACGCCGTTCAATTGTATATTGTAGCGCTGAATAATGCCGTTTGGTTTCTCCGGGGGTTTCCACGTGATGGACATGAAACTGTAGCTGCTTATATTGTCGTAGCGACAAATAACGACGAGATTCTTCGGAGGACTGGCCACTGTAACAACAATAAATACACTTGAATATTTACCGATATTCGCCGAACGTGAAATACATTTTTTCTGACACGGTACGCGCCGACATACCTCCATCCAGGGTGGTGCCATTTACTTCGGTACTCCAATTGCCGCATTGCTTCGTGTATTCGCTGCAAGCGGCTATCTTGAATTTGTACGTGGTCGCCGGATCGAGTTCCACGAATGCGTACACGATGAACGGCTGGGCGGGATACACCGCTTCTCTTTTCTGATCGCCGTGAGTGGCCATCAGATTATAATAGTGCACGTGTTCCTTCAAATCTGGCGGCGGCACGGTCCAGCCTATCGTGATCGAATTCTCCGTCACGCCGTTCACGGAGACTTTCGGCACAAATACTGGATCTGTAATAAATTTTTCAAGCTATATTCAATAAAACAATATAAAATTAAGTTTTAAGCAGTTATAAGCGCATGGCTTTTCCTTGCCACGGAGATCAAACGTTGAGTTATAAAGATAATTATTTAATGTCCACATATGCTCAATAATTTCACAGTTATTCCACAATTATTTTTTAATTACAATTTATAGATTATTAAATTAGACTGTATGATTCTTTTTAACTATTAAATAAGAGAAATTTGTCACGTCTTTCTCAGAAATACCTTTTTCAAGCGTAGTAATCCATCGTGGATCTAATTGCATGTGTGACGTGCCCAGCGCGTTGATGGCGCTGATGCCAATTTGGTACGCGGTGCCGCTCTCAAATCCCTTGAGAACGTAACTTGAATTACCGCCGCCGATCTGCTCGGCGTAATACTGACGCTGATCTGTGCCCTTCTTCATATGCTGGATAAAGTACTTCGTGATCGGCTCGTTACCGTCGTTGACAGTCCAATTTAGAAATATACTGCCGGCCCCGACCGCCTTCATGAAATCTATGCTGACTTTCGGCACATCGGTGACGAACAAGTGCGTCAATGCGCTCACCACCCCGTTGTAGTCGTTCGCCTGACACACATACGTGCCGTTGTCTTTGCGCGCCAGACTCTTGAATTCCAGAATCAAGACGGCATAGGTCTCGTTTATCTGCGCGACGGCAGTGAGATCTTTCAAGTGTTCGCTGCTCTCTGAATCATTCCCTTTTAACCAAGTAAATTGGGATAATGGATAACCGTGTATGTGGCACGTCAAGTTGGCCGCTTCTGATACTTTCGCTCTTACGTTCCCGCCGGACGCTATCTTGCCGGGTTCTGAAAAAAAAATTAACGAGATGACATTTTTAACGAAAGATCGTTCGACTTCTAAATTGATTCTCGAATCTTTTATCGCGCGACAATATGAGAGAGTATTATCCACGAAATCCAAAATACGCATATTCGTAAGCGTGGCGCGCTCGCACGCGCGTAAGGAAGATAAGGCATTTAAATTAGCTCGTTACGCGCACCTATCACTCTGATATGAATGTTTTTCTCGAGGGATTCGCCGTCGACAGTCTGCGCGGAGCACTTGTAGTCGCCCGTGTCGTTTCTGCTGGCCTTCTTTATGTCGAGCCGTCCGCCGTATTCGAAATCCTTGATGGTGGTGAGATTCCGGCCGTCGGTGCTCCACCAGACCTGTCCCGGCACGTTGAGCTTGCATAACAGCGACGGCGTGCTGCCCGCCTCTATACCCTCGATATCCTGTGACGATCGAATCTCCAGCGACGCGGTCCGCTCGGGTTTCGGCGGTTCTGCCGCTGCTTTCGGCTTATCTATACCTGCCGCAAGCGAAACATTCTCGTTATCAATTCACGTAGATGCAAACAAGAGTTTGAAATAAAGCTCGAGAACGTAATTTTGGATACGAAATCGATCTTCGGCATAATTCGGCGAGAACTCGCGCAACGATATATCGAATTCGGTTACACAGAACTAGCCCCTTTAATTCTGAATATGCTATTCTTGCGCGATCAATGAAATCAAATTAAGGCATAGCTCGACCGTTCGGCGACCGTTCATTTTCGATGAATAGGAAGATGGATGAGAGAACGCGTGTTCTCTCGATTGACGAATCCCCGTCGTTTCTATTCCGTCGAATCTCTCCGTCCACGTGTGTGGCCTTATCATGTCCGCAGTTTCGTTATCTATTTTTTTCGCACCGCTCGAAGATTAATGATGTAAATATTTTTTATTTACTTTGGAGTGTCGCGCTACCAATATTCTCTCTCAAGAATACTCACGTTGTAAAACCACATATACATACATACGCACGCGCGCATCTCTCTCTCTCCCTCTCTCTCTCTCTCTCTCTCTCTCTCTCTCTCTCTCGACGGTCCTAATCTAAGATTCCTCGTATAACAGCAAAACGGAGAAAAACATCGTAAGTGGCGGATTCACTTCTAGTACATCTCGCTGAATTATTTCCACAATGTGTCATATCCAATGCCAACGACCGCCCCCGCGTGCTTTACACACACACACACACACACACACACACACACACACACACACACAGGCACGCGTATGTACACACCATCTAAGGTCCATGCAAACACGCGTTACACACACACTTCTGCCTACAGGACATTCACGTATCCGCAGATACGTACACATTATTTTAGTACATGATAATACATATACATATGTACAAATACATGATACACACACGATCGATGGTAAACGATAACGCGACCATATGCATACAGTGCGATAAGGCGCATTCGAGGAATAGGACGACCCTCCTTGTCAAAAATATAATCGAATGGCGTGCGTCTTTTCGTCCAGCTTGCAAAGTTTCGAAATTATCGTCTTGATTAATGCATCGAGATCGAGATCGAGATCTTGCCAAGGTGAGGTTTATATCTAAAATTAAGTGAAATCGGGCCGATACGAATCTTGTAATTAAATAAAGAAGATGCCATCTTCGGTCGGGCTAGATCTTGGTACGCTAATAATAATATTTAATATAATTTAATAATAGGCTAATAATATTATTGAATAATTATAAAGTATTATTTATAATTTATAATTAAAGCTTAATAACATTACTTAATAATTATTAATTATTATTTATAACTTCTAATTAAAGCTTAATAACATTATTTAATAATTATTAAATATTATTGGGCTACCAAGATCTAGCCTGACCAAAGATGGCATCTTTTTTGCTATTTAAAATTACCAGATTAAAATTCTTCAGATTATCCATTTCTATAGCCTAATTGCCCTAATTCATCGAGAGCTCTCAGCGAGTAATAAATGCTCAAAAGCAGCCGGAGTGTTTTTTAAGGACAGATCATCTCTCTCGCGAGGAATATTGTCATAAAACAGTGGACGCCTATTACCACACAGCCTGTATAAATACATACATTTCTCTAAACCAGTTCAATGCCATTGTCCGACTCGCGACTCGAGTACATCTATGCGAGCAGTTATTTTCATCCGTGAGCTACAAAGTTGGATTCTCGCGAAGTTGGCACGTAAACTCATCTCTTTCTTCTTTTATCTTTCTCTCTTCCTTCCTCGACAACCACCTGGTACATCGCTAACGCCGGGGATATATGTACCACATCACCGAGTGGACGATTATAATTTCGAGCGGCTTAACTGTCAATGCCACGCGAGAAACGGGCCGCGGGTGGTCACGCGGCCGAACCGGCGCAGCTGCGACGATCGCAGGGATCGCGACACCGAGTGGATTGGGCGTTCGCGTTAACTGGAATCGACACCGGAATTAGGTCTTTCGACGAAATGAGATAGGTCTCATCCGTTTAGTCACAGGCGAGTTATCTCGTTGGGTGGAACAATGGCACCAGTCACGCTTTCCTCGTTTCAAGAAACGAGGGAAATCCGCGCGACGGACACTCGAACGGAGCTCCAGCTAAGGCTCTCCTATAGGAGAGATGTAAGATCAATTCCGAACCCTTCGGATCTCTAAAGCCGGGAATTTGAAGTACGCCTGAGTCCCCAAAGTCCGGAATTTTAATCCGCCTCGGAATTTTAATCCTCCTCCTTAAATCTCAAAAATAAAACAAATAAATAAATAAATAAAATAGCAAAAGATAAAAAGAATGCCGTTACTAAACGTTACTTTTATTCTCGCTTTTGTTATACAATGCTTAAACGTAATTTCGATAATCCGAAAGATACTTTTATGGAAATGCCCAGTGAATTCCTTTACCGCATTCTGTACAGGAGAAACGCCAGGCTCGTAAAACCTCCGGATCTCGTACTACTCCAAGAGTTCCAGCCGCGCGTTCGATCGATCGCGCGGCGCGCAATTTTCCACGTGCTCCTTCCCGGCTTTCGACGCGAAATCTCGTCTCTCCTCTCGGGGGCAATATTACGATATATAAAAAAAAAAATACTCCAAGAAGAGACTCCGTAGAAGACCTCGGCGCCGATCCGTCATCGAAATTCAACCCCGAACGTTATCATCTCGCATTTCCACCTCCTCCTATATTAAAAAAAAATCAATCTAAAGAGATCGCATCGTTCGCTGATTTCTTATGAATTTCTTGCGGCGCTCCTCGCGAACGAGAGATCGCTTGGCAAGCTTGGTTTTCGTGCTGAACGTTTCCCCAGCTTCTCCCTCGCGCATTTTCACTCTCGACGTGGAACGGAGCCGTCAGCCGGAGCGTCGAAGTAGCGTAAACTGAAAACGGAACCATGGACGGCTCGCGGAGGCGCGTCCCGTCGCGCCTTCCCCTCCCCGCCCTATCCTTTCACCCGGAAGGAGAACGAGCGTGAGTGTGTGTGTATGCGAATGTATGAATGTGTGAATGTGCCGCGAATCGACTCACCGGACTCGTCGACGCCGGCCGCGCCGAGCACGAGGAGGCAGAAGAGCAGCGGCGCCAGCGACGTAACACCGCCGCTCCAGGATAACATGGCGGTCGTGACAGCCGGGTGTCGGGTGGACGGACGGACGGACGGGCGGCGCGGGGCGCGGGTGTTGCGCGTCGGCGACCGCACTCACCGCACTCGCCGACGCTCGGTCGGGCCTTTCGCCGCTGCTGTCCCGGGTCCCGGGTGGTAGCGCGGGCCTCCGTGCGCCCCTCCTCCCGTCGCTACCCCACCTAAACACGCGCTTCCTACGTCCGCGCGGCGTCGGCGTCGTCCTCGCCCCTCTCGGCGTGGCGTCGACCACCCCTCGTGTCCACGGGGGGCCCCCGGGGTTCCCGCGATGCCGCCCTCACAAGCCCTCCATGGGGGAAACACGTCCGACGTTCGCGGGACGTTGCCGTCGGCCAGGAGTCTCCCGGTGTGTGTGTGCGCGCGCGCTCCGCTCGCTTCCCGTTCACGGCGTTCACTCGATCATTACGACACGCGCGCACGAGGAGGCTCACGAGTGTCGTCGCGGCTCGCTGCGCGATGCGATGCGATGCAGCGCGTCGTGGGATCGGCGGGCTGCGAGATTCTCGCCGCACTAAGTACGCGCTCGCACACGGACGGCCGACGGCACTTCGTGGAACGCTAACTGACGACCGGACGAGACGAGCCGGACGAGCGCTCGCTCTCGCGCGGCGACGACGGCGGCGGCGGAGGCGGCGACGGCGATGATTCTCCTCCTCACCTCGTAACGATGCGCCGGAGAGACTGAATACTGAATCGCATCATGCGCAAGCCGTCGCGCGCCGCCCTGGGCCGGGGACGCGCGACGGAGCGGAGTCGGCAGGGATTTCTCTCTCGGCGCAAGATTGTATTGGTGGCGGCCTCTCGCCGGCGCCGGGCGAAACTGTTAGCCGACGTTGGTACTTGGCGTCGGTAGGTAAGAAAGTTTCCTGCCTAAAATATATGTTGGCGTATTTTATTTACAAGAACTTTGTTCTTTTTTTATTTATTATTCTTTGCGAGTTGTAAACTGTTTAAAGTGTTATGTGAATTGATAATTTTTCCCTTCGCGTGGTCGTTCAATTGGCAATATAAATATTATGTAATTTGAGATTCATATTATTATATTAAAATCTATATGCGTCTTATTTTATTTTTACTACTGCGTTTGCTTTTTTTTTACATTTGCATTTTACAGTGAACATTGGAATGCAGCTAAAGTTTACGTGGACTTCGTGCGCGAACACCTGCGAGCAGCCAATCAGCAGATGACGACAGTGCGCTTTTGGAGTTGACCACGCAGGGATTGTCTATTGTTTGCGATAGAGGAGGGAGGGGAGTTTAGTTGTCATAACCTATAATGGTGACCGAGAGTGAATGATTCTGTGCTGCTCCGTTTCTCGTTTTCCTTCTCGCGGATAGACTTGTCGCGGCGGAGTCAGCCGACATGGCCGAGTTGTTGCTAGATCCGAATATCCGAGGCTGGGTATTCCTGCCGATAGTAGTGATCACGTTTCTAGTCGGTATAATACGCCACTATGTCTCGATATTGCTCGCCTCGCAGAAGAAGGTCGAGCTTCATCAGGTGCAAGATAGGTAAATACCTGTACACACGTCGATTAACTTGGATTAAGTTTCCCGCGTGAGGCTGAATATTAATTACGACATTATAATACCTTGCAGCCAAGTCATGATACGCTCCAGACTGCTCCGGGAGAACGGGCAGTATATACCGAAAGTAGGCTTCATGACCAGGAGACATTTCTTTAACAACGAGGAGACTGGGTATTTTAAGACTCAGAAGCGTCCCCCTGTCTCCCAAAATCCTATGACCGATCCAAATATGATGACTGAAATGCTCAAGGGAAATGTGACCAATGTCCTGCCTATGGTACTGATCGGTGGTTGGATCAACTGGATGTTCTCTGGATTTGTGACAAGTACGTAGCGTGATATTATTGAATATTTATTGTATATTTATTAAGTATGATTCTTGTAACTAGATCTTTGCCTAGATTTTTTTTCAAGATTGCTTATAATTGAATGTAAATGCTTTGATTGTAGCTAAAGTGCCATTTCCACTAACACTACGTTTCAAGCCGATGTTACAACGGGGCATAGAATTAGTTACGCTGGACGCTGCGTGGGTTTCTTCGGCCTCGTGGTATTTTCTCAATGTATTTGGACTGAGGTCCATTTACACACTCGTACTTGGCGAGAATAACGCTGCAGATACCACGAGACTGGTGCAAGATCAAGTATCGGGAGCCGCGATGTCGATGCCCCCTGATCCGAAAGCAGCCTTCAAGTCTGAATGGGAAGCATTGGAGATCTGTGAACATAATTGGGCGCTACAGGGAGTAGACGTTGTTGAGCTTTTGGGTATCCAATCGAAGGCGGACTTAGCAGATAGTATATATCATCAAGGAAAAGCAAATTGATATTTAGTAATTAAATTATTTACCGTACAAATTCCCCAAAAAATATCTAATTTATTTATACGTTAAATAGCAATTTGCAGCATTTATCTGTCTGAGCTATATTATAAAGAACTCTGTTTTTTTTAATAAATAAAATGATAAAATATGATAATAGCGTATTTTAATTTTAATAAGCGATAACAATAACAATCTTAAATATAAAATTGATAAGAACAATATATTACTTTATTCTAGAAAATTACAAGTTCTCCTGAATATACAAATCTATCTTAAAATGGTTTAATTACTATTAATTATGATCACTTATTTACTTATTAAATCCTTTGTGTTAAATGGACTTTTGACACTCCATTGTGGAGTACAAGTCAGTGCGACGATGTTCCCCGCACGGCATATTTTTCCTGACTTTTTCCAGTAGGGCGAGATCAATTTCTGCTATAGCTATACCAGTTTTCTCTGCACATTGCGCTATGACGGCGCCCCAAGGATCTACAATCTGAAAACGAATGGATTCCGATTTTAATATCGTGAGAAATCTTTTAATCTCGCCGAGAAGATAAATACATATATGGATTAATTTACCATGGCATGACCCCAGCTCACTCTCTTCTTGTTGTGCGCGCCGGTTTGCGCCGCGGCTATGACATAACACTGATTTTCTATAGCTCGCGCACGCAGCATCACCTCCCAGTGCGCAGCGCCCGTCTGATATGTAAACGCCGACGGATACGTGAGAATCTGCGCTCCCATGTTCCGCAGAGTTAGCGACAATTCGGGAAATCGCATGTCGTAACACTATGTTTATTGTTAAGTTGTTGCTACGTATTTGTAATTTATATAAAGAAAATCAGGGTTTGTTCTGGTTACGAAGGATACGATGCTAAGCGCGAGCTTGCCAATCGGTGTGGGCACGGGTGGCACAATTTCAGTCCCTTTGAGCACATAGTCCGATTCCATCAGGCGTACTCCGGTATCCTTGTTATCCATGTCGAATAAGTGTATCTTTCTGTACGTGGCTACCAATTGCCCTTCGTTATTTATCAATATATGTGTATTGTAAATCTTTTCCACATCACCTGACTGAAATGATAAGCGTCTTTATATGTATCGCTAAAGAAACAATTATTCCATCTTATGTAAATTGATGTAAAACAGTAATTAAAATATTCACAGCTTCGTGGACTCCGCCTAACGATAACCAGATGTCATTTTTCTCAGCGATCTCTTTATAAGACGCAACTGTCTGTCCAGTCAAAGGTTCAGCCATAGCGACAATGTCCTTCTTATTATCAGCCAAAAAGTCGCAAGCTTCGGGAAAGAATGCTATCTGCAAGATATTATAAAGATGAATGCGAACAATATTATAGAAATTAGGCGAGAGCAGTGTTATTTCAATGTAAGATATACAGTACTATTGATTGCCGAGAATGCCAAGTGTAGTACATACCGTGGCCGATTTGCGTTTGGCCTCGGCCGCTAGCTCGGCCACAACCTCCAGATTTTTCACCTTATCAGCTATCGATCTCATTTGACATACCGCAATCAGTGGATGTGCCATTGTACCGGTGTAACGTTTCGCCGGTTGCACGCTGAAACACAACAACTTTGTTAGTTTATAAATGCGACAACGGATATGTTTTCGACATAATGAAAGGAGTAGCTCTCTTTCAAAGTATTTATCTTTCCAAATCCGCTTGAAAAGTACAGAATCCATATAATGGTTAGTTGTGAAACATACGTAAAAAAAATTAAGCGGGCCTCCTGATAACATCACGTTTCTTTTTTCATTGCATAATTTTGTTATGATAGATTAATTTCTTACCTGTAACATTTCACAGGGAATGACTGGGCGATAATGGACCACGCACGTCTCATTCTTATCGCATTGTTGACACCGTTCACTGTGCTGAATTAGCTATATACTTTATCAACGTATATTTATTGGAGTATCAGTGGGGTGACGTCGCTCAGTGATGCTGTCATATTGTCTTTGACACTGTAGCGTGTAAGAGTTTTATTTTTTTACCTTAATTACTTTTTCTTTCTCCTAGCATTTATATTTATTTCGCTTTAAAGAATTGCAACCCGCATTTGCGATGTCACTATTCGTACGGCTCACAACTGACACAACTAACCATTTTATAGATCCTGTATGTCAGTGTATGTATGTACTTCTCTCGAACGGATATTTGGGAAGATAGACACTTTGACAGTTTTGTGACTTGATTTATTACGGAAAACGTAACGATCGCCAGGCGTATATAGGCTTTCAACAACGCTTACGTAAATGTTATCTTGTGGATACTGCGAAAGATACATGAGAAGTATGTATGTTTTATTGACACAAGAGATATAACCTCTCTTTAGATTTTCTTAATGTAGTGCGGTTGTTATTGTTGCTTCTATAAATTTGCAAATTTTACACAACATTGAGTTATTTAACGTTTAATTTTGTACAAGTGCAGATAGTTATGTCGTTATAATAACTTTAAAATGTATAAGTTGTGTCTCCCAAAATTGTGAAATTAATGTAACTATAATTTGAAGTTCAACTGGCAATTTACTTATTAAAACAATCGTTTTTGATTAATTTTTATCTGAGAAAAATTGTCCTCTGAAAAAGGAAAATAACTCAGAAAATAATAGTCTATGATTATTATATATTTTCTATATATATACACATATTATATTCTAAGGTTGTTGATTAGGGTTATCAAGAAATGGAGGATGCAATATTTAAGCAGTAACGAGGAACATAAGTGGAGAATATAACAGATCTATATAGATTAATTAAGCTCCAGTCAGAATGGCAGCCATTCGACATACTTTACAAAGGGAAGTATTCACCCTGAGCGACGAAAAGCTCCTCAGCGTATGCTATGTTAGCAAAGCTTACAAGAAGAAAAAGATGAGCTTCTTGTGCCTGGCTACAACGACAGACACGCCAGGATCACTTATATTGTACCAAGTGAAGAAGAATGACAAAAATGTTTATAAGAAGAAACAATCGTGGCCTCTGAGCGATATACAAATTGTAGATGGTGTGAAAAATGATTCTATGGACATAGAGATGCATATTGACAAAGTTTACAAATGGACATCCACTACGGCACAGGAAAGGCGAACGTTTATCAGTAATTTTTATACATATTCGTGTAGCCTAGCTCAAAGGCCAGAATTCAAAAATATTCCCAAAGAGTGGCTGATTGATCCAACCGCTTTGAAGGAAAGTGACAGTATCACATTTACGCCTGGTATGTCTTTGTGTTCAATTATGTTTAATGAGTGTATAATTGTAATTGCTAATATATTTTTCATTTATGTTTGCAAACAATAATTTTTTTATGACTAATACTTCTACTTAATAGTGTAACAATTTTTAGATCTTCTGGCATCACCTATCAGTTCGGATTACCAACCTATCACCGAAAAAGAAGCTGCTGATTTAAAACAAATGATGGAAAATTGTGAATACGCTGTTTCCAACGCTGAGCTTTTTATGGAAACTCTCTCAAAAGATCTGTCTATTCTTGATGGGGTAAAGCAATAATATTTAATTTTTCTTATGAAAAGTATAATAGATGTTGTAAGTAATACGCAAGTTAATATCGCGAAATACATATTTTATTCTATTCTCACTTAGGAAAATGTACATTCGGTCTTAGCATCAGAGCAAAGAGTAACGCAATTGATGAACAGTATAGACGCGGCAATAATCGAAGCCTCTATTGTAGAAGCGCGATTAGCGTCGTACGATGAAGCGTTAGGAAGAATAAGAGAAGTTATGGCTCGAGTTGGGCAGAAAAATCAGGCTATACATACGGCGAATAACAATGCGAGACTTTTGTTGGATAAGCTAAATCTAGTGATTGTAAGTAAATAAGAATGATACAAATGATTAAATTAACTTTCTTGTTACAATTACAAAATGACCTGATATCTGGTAGAAAATATGAATCTAATTGTTCCTATTATCATATGTTTGTAAATTGTTTTCTTAAAGTCATTATGTTTTTACCTAAAGGGCTATCTATACTACAAATAAATAATAAATGTGATTACATTATATGATAAATAACTTGATATTTAAGAAATATGATATATATAGATATAAGGTATTTTTACATTAAATTTATAGAAGCGTGTACCAAGATATATGACTTTTTAATCAGAATCGCATTTTCTATCAAATCCTATATTGGTGTTATTTGAGGATAAATTGTATAATTTTCTTTCAAGTCGCAATTAGATATTTCTGCAACGCACCAACGTACCTTGAACGAAGCTGAGCTTCCAGGCGAGAGAGAAGAACTTGGCCTTGCTGGTGCGGCGCTTTTAAAAGCTATCACAGCACCTCTTCCACCGGGCTTAGATAAGCTGAGTGCTGTCACCGAACAGAAAAGGCGTTTGGACAAACTCAAAGCAAAGTTCTCAGTCATTGTTGCTAGACACTTAAACAATCTTTTTATACACTTGGTAAGTTCACAATTATTTTCAATATTGTCTCTTTTTCTTAATAATATAACATGATTATATGTATAATTAAAAGAAGAATATTGTTTTTAATTTTCTAATCAAATTGTAGGGTAACGATATTGGAGACACATCGAATTCCATGACAGATCTAATATTACCGACTCATCAAGGAGTTCATAATGAGCTTGTACCATATACCGAATTAATGCAACTGCTAAGAGCATTGGACAATAAAGCTTTTGTACAGTTAACTAAAGTATATACTGATACCATGAGCAAATTGTACAAGAGAGATCTGAAACGCTTTTTCGAAGAGGCTAAGAATAAGCTCATCAGCAAACGTGTGCAAGGTAGAGCAATAGATTTTCTGCAGTAGAATTCCAATTAATAAATAAACAATAAATAAAACAATAAGCATTTAAAAGTCTCAATTTAGACTACAATTGTATTCTGCTCTTCTTCACTGGCGCTCTACTGCGTAGCTCTATATCATTTTCTCAAATTTATATATATTAATAAGGAGGTATGTTTTTTAAGCAAATACATCAAGGTCTAGCGCTCAGAAGGGTGAAGATTTGCTCAATCCGGCGCCCATCTGTTTGCTGAGTGGTGAAGTATGGACCCCGATGGACGAAGGAAATCTTTTAGACTCTGTACTCGATTGCGTACTTTCACAGATGCAGCCAGTATGTCTCGCCGAACAAGGCTTCTGTGTCTCATTTCTTCAATTGGACTCCGTTCTCTCGCCTTCCAAAGTAAGTATATCGGTAAAATTTTATTTCAACTTGTATGACTATGAACGTCTATTGCTTTGTGCAGAGTAGCGAGATGGAGGAAGTGGAGAACGTAAGTAACGGCGCAGCAAGTCCCGGATCGGTAACTTCGACGGCAAGCAAAAGACTGGAGCGTCAGGTGAACGAGGACGTGCGCGCGACTATGGCCGCGATATTCCCGTCATTGGAAACCGAGTTGAACAACTTTATCGGATTCCTGGACAAAATCGACAGCTTGTGAGTTGGGGGTTTTGAAAAAATTATTTCGGCATGTAAAATTATCTGGAGTTTTTATCAAGCGGCTTTCAAATCATTAATACATATAATTTCTCTAATCCTTACTTTTATTATATACGTAATATATATACTGTATAAGTGTAATTGTATATTTGCAGTTGGTGCATGTATGTATTAGTGCGTTTATCACAACACGTCATGTCTGCTCAAGATACCGGATCGTTTCTATCGATGACATTCGCATCCGCTCTGATCCACGTGAAACGAGCGTTCGATAAATTCGTGCAAGCACAGCTGCAGTCCATATTATGCGACACGAAAGTCAATCGTCGACACAAATGTGGTATATTGCCATATATAGAGAACTTCGGGCCATTTGCGAGAACCGCAGAGAAAATTTTCCGCAATTCTGACAGGAAGGTTGATCTTGAAAAGTGGTACACAAAGCTTGTAAGCACTATGTTTGAGGCTATTGTTATTCACAGTCGAGAACACCACAAAACGCCACAAGAAGTTATAAAAATGGGTAATTGGAAAAAATTCAATATTTAATAAAATTGTCTAATTTTAATTACTAATAATTTTAATAATATTTGTCACACTTTATAGAGAATTTTCATCATCTCTATGACCTCCTTTCGCAACTAAAAATCTCGGTTTTGGATCACGAGCGAAAGGAAGCCAAGCAAAAATATCAGGATGCACTTCGTGCTTATGTTACGCAGTATTTTGGACGACCTCTTGAGAAACTTAATGTAAATTGCCATTTAAAAATACTTTTATGATTGCATAAGAATATGTTGAATTGAAGAACGTTTATTTTTCAGCTTTTCTTTGAAGGCGTACAAGCCAAAGTAGGGGCTGGTGTGAAAGAATCTGAAGTCAGTTATCAAATGGCCTTCAGTAAGCAAGAGTTGCGACGCGTAGTGAAGGAATATCCGGCGAGGGAAGTTAAGAAAGGTCTGGAGAACTTGTATCGAAAAGTTGAGAAGCATCTATGTGAAGAAGAGAATTTGTTACAAGTAAGTAGAACGTGGGAGAGATGTGTTTCACATTTCCCACGATTTTTGACGATAATTGCAATATAATCCCATGTGAAAAAACATGTGTGTGTGTGTGTGTGTGTGTGTGAAAATTACTTTCTTATCTATTATAATTGTTTCATTTATTTTTAATATTTTTAGGTTGTTTGGCGCGAGATGCAAAATGAATTCATCGCGCAATATAGAAACATTGAAGAACTAATCCAACGCTGTTATCCAGATAGCAATGTGACACTTGAGTTTACCATACAGGATATTTTAGAATTTTTCTCAGAAATAGCACGATCTCATTAAATTAAAATGCAATTTTCTTTTCATTATTATTTCATTTGACTTAATGTTAATATGATTATTATAACAAGTTTATATATATATGTATTTATATATAGAGTTGTAATATATAGGTAGATAAGTAATATATGTCTTTGAGTGATATACAAGGGCTATTAAAAAAGTTCCTGAACTTTATAATATTTTGGGGTTTACTTACAACTTAGTCAGCTTAGTCAGAAGGAGATAGTTGACTAAGTTGTAAGTAAACTCCAAAACAAAGTTCAGGAACTTTTTGAACAGCCGTCGTATATCAGATATTGCAATCTTTTATCATGAAAAATTGAGTAGCACTCAAACATAAAGAAGACTTATTTTAACATTACAGAGTGATAGTCAAGTGGTCAAGATTAATTTAGCTGCAATATATTATTTATATTCAAATATACGCTTTTCAATTATTGAAATTATATCATTTTTTGGTAAGACATGTATTTTCATAGAATAGCTCCTTCAAGATAAACATATTCATAAATATGAACTATTTATTGAGGAGAATACAAGTTATTGCGTGTTATACTTGCATAATAAAGTACATAACATCAACAGCTGTGTGGCCAGATTGCTTCTGTACCTATTTTTATCTAAGATTTTCTATAAATATTTATTTGCTTTCAGCAGGCTCCTCGGGTGGGAAAAAGTTGAAGAAGATAACACCTGACGTTTTTATCTGAAAATAAAGTGCAGAAATTACATATTATGCGCATCCATCTAATTTGCAAAAAATATTAAAAATATATAAAACTTAGAAACATAATGAGGTTCCATTAGGTTCCATGAGGGCGAAAAATCTAGTATAATATATATCAAGAGATATATAAGAGTAAGATCTTATAATTTGATACATTTAACATTATCTGAGTCTATATAAGTTTGATACGTACATAAGTTATGGTACTGATTAGGACAACAAGGCCAGCGATTAATTGAGCATTGTAAACCTTCTGTCTTGAGTCATAGTGGTCTTTCCACGCCCCACATGGTCCAGGTATGTCATTTATTGTCGCTGGTTTAATATCCAGTGCTTTTGAACTGCTGGAACGAGTGCCTTTAACATCGAAAAATTGCATGTTTAGATGAAAAGTACATTGTCTTATTCTCAGTTTATATACATTTATATGTTATTTTTCGATTTATGCATTTGTGCAAAGACAAACAGTCACAGTTTCAATAATGACAACCAATTCGAATAACAAATTTCTGATAAATTTGGAGTAGTTTATGCTGTAAGCAAAATATCAATGTTAAATATTTAAACAATACAATCCCAAGTCAAAGTTTTGTATCACGAAAAATCAGAAGTCAAGTCTACCAAAAAGTTGAAGTAAAAAAATAGATTCTCTGATAAATTACAAGATCTCGTAAAACAGTTTTACAAGCATTATCAATCCCTTATGATTAAAAAATTGTTACTTTGTCGAAATCTAAAGAATTGGCAGGAAACGTTGATCAAAGAATCTGTCATTAAAGATAGACGAAGGATTACATTATTTATTATCGCCGCGAGTTTGCATAGAGTAATTTAGCGGTGTGTGCAGAAACGCAGATATTATGTAAGGTACAGAGCTGATTGAACCGCGCGATAGAACGAACGGTGAGGCAAAGGAAGTCTTACCGCCTCTGACCAAGTTGCGAGCGATCGGCCGCAACACGTGATTAAGCATTTCGCCGGGATTGTCCTGCGCTCGATGCAGTCACGAAAAATCCGCGAAATGTGACACAAGACAGGTGAAATGTCGGAAAATCGGAGAGAAACACCCCTGCGAATTTATCGTGCATAGAACATAAGCGTATCCGAGAAGAGCAGTCTCTTGATAAGAGATCACGTGATCGTGAGAGATCATCCGCCATCTCGTGAGTTTGTGATGGACGGAAATGTACACGTACTGTCGATAATTAATCATGTGATAGAAACAGGCAGACAAAACCGAGCCGTCATTGTGTGTGTGTGTGTGTGTACTACCATATACATATATATATGTATGTACATACAGTAGTGGTGGACTTATATGTGTGAATATATGATAGGATAAAAAAAAAGTTTTGCCAGTTTTCGTCAAAGTCAAATAATATTGATAAATTATTTAATTATTGGATGGTCGACCGCTTTTGGCACATCCCTTTTAATTTTTTTTTTACATAACAAAATATTGCTACAGCTCTTTACTTTTCTGTGCGTTATTATCAACGAATCGTAATTTATAATTATTATAATAACGAAACGTTTCATGTGTTAATTTCATATAATTTGTATGTGGAAATTTGCGTGAAGATTTTTTTCAAATTATACCCTTCGATATATATATATTTTTTCTATAAAACGTAGAGGTGTATACTTAAATGTATTAAAAAGGAAAGAAATCTTAGACTTAACTAAAATTATAACTTAACTTATGAGCGTTGATCTTAATAATAAGTTCTACATCTATTCTAGGGACCCTGAACATAATCAGACATAAATTAAAATAATGATATGTCAGATTATCGTCTTAATCGTATAAACCGAGCGTTGAGCCGGAACGTAAATAAGTATCGATTATTTCGTAAAAATAATATAATCATCGAGGTATAAATAATATTATCCAATGTTGTGTCATGTGTAATATCTGCAACTAAATTATTTATAACATATTGTATGGCGAGAAAAAAAAAATTAAATGTAACCGCTTCACATGCACCTTCCTATTAACGCTTTTTGACACCTGTATTTATCTTAATGGGATTGTAAAGGTATCAGAGTGTGCCAGATAATGCCAATGGTTTTTTTACCCAATTTTACACATTTACATTTTTGTTAACGCCATTGATTCGGGTTCTTCAACAAATAATGCAATTCGACTTTTCTTGTACATTCCCATTGGCCTTCTCGATCTCCTTCAGTAGCGTGTGAAAAATATCTGCAACAGACTATTGAAAAACACGTTTAACGAAAATTCCGTAGTATACGCTCGAGAAAGCGGAAAGGTATCCGCAGATGTACCTCATTTTGTTTCGCACTGGTTTCTAGAAATGCCGCGTTCCAAGAGTTTGCTAAACGCTTTCCCTGATCCGTCGTGACCATACGATCAACGTACAGGTCCGTCTTGTTGCCCACTAACACGATCGGAACACTGTAAAGAAAAGGATAATGTTCGATGTGTAAAAGAGTCCAGTTCGACGAACAAAATTATGCGAACGCGTCGAGCACTCCGAGAATGCGAATACCTACTGGAGCTTTCCGGTGATGTCGAGTAATTTGTCATAAATAATTTGTACAATCTCAAAACTCTTTGAACTGGTTATGCTATACACCAGGACGTAGCCGTGGATGTCCATCGAATACTGAGTAGGAAATATACTATATTCATCCTGTCCGGACGTATCTACTAACTTGAGTTCATAATCTTGACTATTTACTCGTGTACTCTTTGTGAACGCTGTAACATAATGAAAGATCTTTGTAGTATCACTTAACGCGATGTATATTTCTACAAATTGTAGATTTCTAGAATAAAATGATAAAGATTAACAAATAGATAAAAGTGTCTCTTACTATTTTCTATCGTAGGCTCGTACGAGTCTACAAATTGTCCCTCGACAAACTGTATGCTGAGGGATGATTTACCTGTTAAACAATTGAACGTACGGCATTAGAGCGTTTTTGTACGCGTTCAAAAGTGAATAGACAAACACAAGCAATATATAAATGTGTCTTTAACAGTTACGCAATGACAAATATAAATCTAAATAATGCGCCAATGATTTGTGTCTGGTGTCGCAAAAGTTCCAGGTTACACATCCATAAAAAAAAAAGAAAGGACGCCCACACACACAAGGTGGTCTTACCTACGGATCTATAGCCCAAAATAGCTATTTTCCTCTGCTTGGGCGGCATGTTGTAGCATTTACAAACTGAAAAGCAGTAAGAATGTTCAGTGAAAGCTGATGCATAATCCAGCTAAAACCTGCGAACAAGGGAAGACTTTGTAACTATCCGGCGTAACTATCCTCCTCGCGTTCATTAGCGTCTCTCGCGGTCGTAACGGCGATAACGAATCTGCGAGCGCTATCTCACATAGGAGAAATTACAAAAGACGCAGTGTGTGTTTCCCTCCCGAGGAGAAACTGGTGCGAGCCGGGGAAAAAAAAGCGCGTGAATCAGCCCGGGTCAGCGTCGTTTACGTCACATTTACATATATATTTACGTAACGACGGACGCGTTGCAAATATGTATTTTTTTTTTTTTTTTCATTTCTCGCGCTGGCGGAGCGTTTTCCAAGCGATACGCGGCCTCTGCTCCGACGGGAAAGTAAACAACTTAACGACATTTGTTATCGGTGGTAAGCTGGGTACATACATGCTATCCGCAAGCCTGACCGATGATGGATTGGCGATCCCGCGAGAAAACGCTATGAAACGAGGAAAAAATAGAAAGAGAGAGAGAAAAGAAAGAGGAAAAGAGGAAGGATACACGCATGCACGTCGGAAGTGCGTCTTACATCGGTGCGTAGCGCCCCTTGGATTGACGAAACGGCGAACGGTTTTTCCTCGGAGGAGCCGCGCACGAATCGACGCTGATCGACGGCACCTTCGCACTTGGTGCCGGAGGGAAAATAACGTTCCGAACTACGCACCGTTTGATGCACGTACTACGGAGTAGTCCGGGAGTACGGACGCACGCGTACGCGCGCGATGCACGAAGGGAAAGAGAGAGTGAGAGGGACGGACAAAGAGGGGGGAGGGAGGGAGGGAGAGAGAGAGAGCGAGATGACGTCAATGACGTGTATATAACTCGGCGTCATGTGTCATGTATGCCTCCGCACTTAAGACCCGGCTGGCTTCCGGATGACGCGTTTGACAGTTCGACGCAGTTCGACGTTCGACGGCCGCCGCGAATTGCGGCGCGAGCCAGGACATGGCACTCGGATGAGCGGTCGGAGCAGTCGATTAATCGATCGACCGATCGGTCAAGTACCGAATATTTGCGCGTCAGCAGCTCGATCGAATGGGAGCGACGTCCGATGGAAAATCCACTGGAATTTTCGTGCCGAAAGTGCGCAATTCCGAGCGTAAAAGTGCACGCGGACCGGACGGAACCGCGAGCCGATTGCCGATTGCCCCTCCGCTTCCTTTCAGAAATTTAGACCGTGATTATACACCTTCGCGCTCGTCTCGAGCGAGAAAAGTAGCGACGAGACAGAAGATTCGACTTACACAGTTGTTTGGAGCGACATAATGACCTCGACGATTGCCCAAGCTTCACCGACGTCGCGGGGAGCCGGGAGCGCTCGGCCGCGTGACATAACCTCACTTCGCGAGAGCGCGCTGGCGAGCGTAGGCGTCGCTTGGCGTCGCTCGTCGGCGGTCGACGCCCGCCAGATTATTTTCCGCGAAAATATCGAACGACGCACGTATTTTCGCGCGGTCCAAATGACAACGGCGAGTTGAAATTAAATGCATGATTAAAATGTAGAAAGTTGAAAAAAAGATGAGGTGGGAAAAAGAACGCATCTGCAGCCTTGAGTCTGCTCTATCGCAATATATTCGCAATAATCGCAAATACTCCGATACTCCGAATATTCCGCGGGCGCTAATTGGTCGGTCGATATAGGGATCTTAGGGAGTTCCTAGAAGTTCTTTCGGGAGGTCGACGACAAGCGCGTTCCGAAACTCGTCAACTATGTTGGAGCTCTATAGTATACGTGACGAAAACTATAGATTTTTTATTGTCAGTATTTTTTGTCGTCCACGAGCCGACGAGCCAATCGGCGCGCTCCGGAGCTTTCTCCGCGACGTTGTGGAGCGCGGAGCGGCCTCGAAGTATGGATATCCAAAGGCTGGGCTGAGAGAAAAAGACAGTTCACGACACGGTGCGGTGACGAGGTTATTTTGGGTCTGACTGATCTTGACAACCTTTGATGATGTCAAGTCGGAGTTGATAAGAACAATTTTCGTCGTAGTCTTTTTTTCTTATTGATTCTCGCGCTTTAAATATATATAATATATATATATATGTGTATATATGGGCCGCGTTTCGCCCAAGGATCGTAATTTATTTTTTCCGGCGTTATTTTATTATTATTTTCTCGCTTGGCTCGTCTGTCTGCTCAGCGTATCCCGATCCACTCGTTATTTGACAATATGATGCCAAATACGGATGTCTATGACAGCCTATACTTGTGAGTAGATTCTCATGCGTAGAGTGCAGTTTATATTTTTCTTTATATTTTTCATACACAAGGTACACGTGCCAAAAAAAAAAAAAAAAATTGTGAATTGTGCTGTCAGTTTTGTTGCTACAACTAGTTGCTAATTTTTGTTACGTCAAGGTATGCCACTCCGGAGAAGTTCTTCGTAGAGCCGGTCGGAACCAAGGTCCTGCTAGTGGTGGATAGAGTGAGTCAGCAGATCTACACTCAAGGTAATTAACAGGCAATTTAATGTGCTTAAGTTAATAAGTCAACGAGTTGATGAGACAAATTCTTGCTTCCTTTCGCAGTGGGCACCGCTAGTCAGATTCCAACAACTGCCAGCCGTAGGAAAATATGGGGACTGATAGGGACTATACGCCTTTTGGCGTGTCGTTATCTCATTGTTATCACGGACGCTCAAATGTGTGGTACTCTAGCTGGACACAACATCTACAAGATAGTCTCGACAGACGTGATACCCTATACCAGGTCCTTCCTGCATTTGACTGAGAAACAGGTCCAAAATAACGCCATTTACTTGGAAATGGTGAAGTCTGTCTTGAATACACCATACTTTTACTTCAGTTACACCTACGACATCAGTCACACTATGCAGAGGTTGCATAACACGACACCCGAATTCTTGCAAGTAAATATTCTTGCATGTCTTATATTGCTGTTTTATGCAGCGTCATAAGCAGTTGTACAGTAAGAATGTATCGTCATTTAGATGCCGCTTCATGACAGGGCAGATCCCAGGTTTGTATGGAACGCCTACCTCCTGCAGGACCTTAGTGCAAGACCGGAGCAGTATAAATTTTGTTTACCCATTATTCATGGCTGTATCCTTCGATGTGTGTCATATGTCACTTAAATTTTTAAAGATTTATATTTTTTTCTGGGATGACCTTAACGAGAGATTTATACAGTTGTCTCATTGAACACGGTGGTCGTGAATGGCGTTGCGTTCAACTGGGGCATCGTCTCTAGACGCGGTATACATCGTGCTGGCACGAGATTATTTTCGCGCGGTATAGACGCCACCGGGAATGTGTCCAATTACGTGGAGACAGAGCAGCTAATTGAAGTGAATGGCGATCGTAGTTCCTTCGTGCAGACGCGCGGATCTATTCCTTTATTTTGGTGTCAGGCGCCAAACTTGAAGTACAAGCCAAAGCCGCAGATCAGTCCACACGAGGATCACCAAAGCGCTTGTGCTCGTCATTTCGATGTTCAAATCTTTCATTATGGAAGGCAGATTCTCGTGAATTTGGTAAATTCTTTTTTCTTCACACTTGTCTACGATATTTAGATATTAATAAAATTAAAGTAATTGTAAGGAAGTTTTGTTATCAATTTTATTTATATTCTAGGCAAGAATTGGCTTAAATTTCTTATCATATTGAAAATCATTATTTGTATTTATAATCACATTTGTATTTATAAACGTACCTTATATTTTGAACAGATCGATCAACGTGGACCAGAAGCACTGCTTGAAGATGCATATCGCAATTTAGTCCAAAGAATTAACAACCAAAATGTTCGATATGAGGCTTTTGACTTTCATGCGGAATGCAGAAGACTAAGGTGGGACAAATTGAACAATTTAATGGACCGACTAGCCCATGATCAGGAACAGATGGGATATTTCTTGTTGATGAGGGATGGAGCATTAATCTCGGCTCAGGATGGTGTTTTCCGTACAAATTGCATCGATTGTCTAGACCGGACGAATGTTGTACAAAGTATGCTGGCGAAGAGAGTTCTCAACGAAGTATTGAGTAGGCTAGAAATAGTTAGAAAAGTGGAAGATCATCCTGCGTTTGAAAATCTTTTCAAACAGGTATTGAATTTTTTCAGATAATGAAAATTTAATTTTTTTTTACTTTTAATGTTAATATGTAAAATTTAATATAAAATAAAATACCATAAATATTCTAATAATATGCTTACATAATAAATAGTCATACTAAGTCATACTAAATATTATTGAAGTATAGTTTGGCAGAGAAATTTTGATTTTTTTAATAATAATACTGTTTAAAAAAATTTTTTTTATTGATATTTGTAGATTTGGGCTGATAACGCAGATGTGATAAGTATCCAGTATTCAGGTACAGGGGCGTTGAAGACTGACTTCACACGAACTGGAAAACGCACTAAATTGGGCGCGATGAAAGACGGTTTAAATTCTCTTACAAGATATTATAAGAACAACTTCGCCGATGGATATAGACAGGTAAATAAATCTTGAAAACGTTTCTCTCTTTTTCAGTGATGTAACGATATTTTATGTTATACAGGATTCGCTGGAGCTCTTTTTAGGTCGTTACATCGTCCAGGATGGTGAATGTACTTCCATTCAATGTCCCTTGGAATCCGAGCGAAATTGGCGTTATACTACATTCCCACTTGTTTTTTTAGTCGCGTCCTCGATGCTGGTCGCTCACATAATCTTACCATCGCGATACACAACGGAAATATTACTCTACATACTATTCTGGGGCGCCATGGTGGCCGGTACCTTCGCTACCATTATCCACCACGGCAAGCAATACGTCGATAAGCCAAAATTACTTTAGAGTTAATTATTAATAATTTTATGAGATTTCAAATTATATATATATATATTGTACAATATGGATATCGATGGCGATAAACGATTGTAGAGGTATTAGTTTTGCACAGTTATCAATCGGTCGGTACCTCGATTTCTGTATCGCGGCACAAAGATAGATCTCATCGTGTAATTAACAACGCCTATTTCTATGAAATTAACATGTTAATTTCCGGCGGTATTCACATTTCACAGATACAAGCAGTTGTATCTGTCAAATGCGTTTTTATTTGGGTACAAGGTTTAAAGGAGGGCACGGTGTCTATTATAAATTATTATTACGGTGGATTTTGCACTTTCCGCATAATAGATAGTGGAGTCTACTTTCGAACGACATTCGTTCCTTAAGATTCGCTTGACATTTTGCGACAAATTCTTCTGATGTATTGTAAAGGATCACAAGTTTTAAATCTCTGGCAGGGTAAGTGGGGCGGCCGCAAATAGGGCTAAATGACAGATCGTTCTTGGTACCCACCGTCCATAGATAATCTGAAGTAAGCGTGAAAACGGTTTCCAGTCCGAGATTGAAAAAAATTCATGGAATCTTTTCAGTTTTTTTATTAGCTTGCGTTGGAATTTTCTCGTACACTGACCGGCAGGAATGCCTGGACATTTCGTGTATATGACATATATGTATATGTATATGTATTATGTCCAGACATTCCTGCCAGTAGAGTATACAAGTCTGAAGTAATTATTTTCCTGATGGTAAATGTTTTTTAAAATAAATATTCTCTATTTAACATATAAAACTTTTATCTTACAATTATTTATATTGTAATGAATATTTTTTACTTTAAACAGAATTTTTCAGAGTTAAAAATAAAATTTAATATCGGCATTTAAATGTAACTTAAAAATTTGAAATTAAACGATTAGTTTTTTTGGGGAATTTTATTTTATTTTTCGAATTAATTTTCTAAATAAATTTCATTTATTGTACATCTTTTTATATGTATATTTATCTTTTTTATACATTAAACGAAAATTCTATTTATAGATTAATTGCAATAAAATTTATAAAATTTATAAAATGCCATTGAAAATAATAAATCTTTTTACTTAAAACAGAATTTTTCAGAGTGAAATTAAACGATTATTTATTTTTCGAAATAATAGTAGTAATATTCATATTAATGGAATTTTATTTATTTTACTTTTCGAATTAATTCGAAATGAATTTTATTTATTGTAAATCTTTTTCTCTATATGCATCTTTTTTTATATTGAATTTTTAAAATATCGTATTCTATTCGAGCGAAAATTTTATTTATAAATTAATTAAAAATGAAATTTTATAAATTTCATGTGCGAATTAAATCGGTTTTCTATAGATATCTTAATGGAGTAAAATACAATTTATAAATAAATCTTCCAAAAGAGACGTTCCGTAATAAAAGCCAATTCTTTTTACTCGTCTAGATTTTGCGAGTATAGAACAAATGCTGATGATTATTAAGAAACTGGAAAGTTCTTCGATACGCGACCTATATAAATAAAACCGATTTGTATAAATGAACCGAATACATCGCCGGCGACTGGTTTATATTGGAGCGTTACTGATTCGCAAAGTGCTTAAAGTATAGGATTAACATTGTAAATCAAGTCACGGTTTGCGGAGAACGTTTGAATTTTCGTAGGCATGGAACCTTGAGCCAAAGTATATACATGTTTCGTTTTTAGGATTTACATATATGTACATTGTATTTTATCGTACATCCGCGCAGCAAATGCGGCTACAAATTATGTCTATCTATTTAAATGTAGAAAAGAAATATGTCAGACCGAGAGAATATTTTTTAATATTTCAAAGACGTGTGTGTGTCTCACCGTCTGAAGAAAAAAAAGGAAGGAAAACTCGAGTGGACGGCGGACTTCCTCGTCGAACTAACGTTCATGATTTATCCTTCTTGCGGATACTCAGATTGTAACGTGATATTGACTACAAATAGATGAATCGTACGATCAAATGCTGTACTAGAATATACCTCGCTCATCTAATTTATCCATATTTTATCACCAGATTTTTTTAACTCCGCCAAAAGCGGAAGATCGCGGCCGCTTATTTTATTAGTTGGTCCCTTTGAATTTTGTTTCTTAATTTTGTTGAGTTTCGACAATCCTGGTTGCTCCATATCATGGTGATAGGTCAACCGCCGTTTGCGTCCGAACGTAACGTTTCCATTCGGCGCAACCGCTCGTAATCCGCGCTCGTAACACTCGCAATTCGGCCGACGGCAATTTGGCCCGCAAAATGTACGCCCCGTCGTTTATCACGCCGCTATTCTTCCGTCCTGTTTCAAAACCCCCCGCTGTCTCCTCCTTTTTTTTCCATAAATCCACGATATAATTTCGGGTTTACAGTAATACGAGTCCTCGCGAGCGCGCGCGCGAAGGTAGATGGTAATCGTTTATTATTTTGGCGACGACGAAAATCCGCGAGTGTAATTTTTACGCGGGGGGCAAAAAGGGGTAGCGTCGGGTCGGAGGGAGGGAAGAAGAGTTACGCGGGTCATTTAACGTTTGTATTAAAGTAGATCGGTCGGACCGGGTCGGGCGCGCGGGCGCCTTTGTCTCGCGGAATGGCGCGAAGCGGCTCTCTTGCGGCTTGCATTTCCAGACACGTAATTCGACCGTTGTGCGGCAATTGTGCGGAATTACGATCGCGTATCTAGAGGCATAATTACGCAAAGTGCCACGTACGCGATATTCGCAGCGTTTGAAGTATATTTTATACGAATGGGGCTGACTACAAAATTCCTCGATTCAAATTGCGAATTTTATGCGAGAACTTCGAAAGATTCATTTTTTTCTTAGAAAAAAGATTATCTATCTTTTATATTTAATTGTTAAAACCCTTTTTTAGAACATGTTATCGGAAACTTTCGAGAGGATTTTCTGTCAATTTAATCGAAATTCTGAAAATGGAGAATGCTAACTTCCGGAAGGCGTATGACGGAAACAGAGCCAATAAAGGGTTTTTGTCGACCATACTCTGTAGCAGGGTTCGAAACAGGCTTCGAAGAAAACCACCCTAATCGTTGATTGGAAACGCTGAAAGGAAATTGTGCCGATTTCAAATCGCTGACCGAAGCGGGCGCTTTTATATGAGAAAAGGCGAAATGACATGACGCTTTTATGTTTTCTACATTCTGTAGTAAACGTGAGTGTTTATCAGACTCGATTGTTTCCCGATATTATTTTTATTTTACAAGAGAGTATTTGTAAGAAAAGAAAAAAGTCCAGATACAAGCTAATACAATTAAATAGAAGAGTTAATTGGATTGTTTTTATTAAGAATAGATTATTCATTCATTAATTGCAATATAATTAACAGTATATTTTCATAGTGTTCTCCTCTCTCTCTCTCTCTCTGCACGCGTTGCCGTGCTTTTTGCGCACTTGTTGAATTTTACGCAAATATTTGTATTCCATTAGGTATGGTTATTTAATTAATATAATTCAATTAGCAACGTGCGGGGGTTTTAAAAAAAGTAACACATAAGTAACTACTTCTTTTAATTTCAATATATGATTCTTCTCGATTAACAGCACTGAAGCTATAATAGTTATATTATGAAGTAGCGACGCAAACGGTCGTGAACACTATCATAATTTTCCAGTCTTTTGTTCAACCGCGAATTGCTGCGACGCGACGTGTCGCATAATCGGGGAATATATGGGACGCTCGATTATGCGAAATATTAATACAGGACGCTTACAGAATCAATGGTGCAAGAAGTAGATCCTACAAAGACAAATTACAAATAATATATATATATAAGTACCTAAATAAATATAAATACACTTTTTTTAAAGATTAATATACCCGAAGTTTTCTATTTTCATTTTATGCGCATTTAATCTCAATTATATAGTCGCATCTTTCCAATTGATTTATTAGAGCTCTCACATGTACGAAACATAAGTGAAAGCCTGTATGTTCACGCATAACTGACGGATCCTTACATTTTTTCTAATAAGTGCGATATTTTAACCAGAACACGGGGAAAAAATTTGATTGCATAAATTCGAAGTCTGATTCAACGAGAAAGGTACGAATCAGATACTTATAAAAGTCCAATTCTAGCTATAAAATATCGATATAATCAGAACTTCAATTACAATACAGAATTACGTTTGATGTGATCAGGATGTTTGTATACATTATTGTTGGTGCAATCAAAATATTTTTCTCAGTGACTTAAAATGGTAGCTTTCATGATAATTTTGATATATCGCTGACTGAATTTGCCAATAATTCTTTAAATTGACATCAACATCGATTTTTAATGGCTCGTTAAAAGTCCAAGTAATTTAACAATCAGTGTTAACCACAGTGTTAATAGATGATAATAGAAAACAAATAGCATTTAAGAGGCCGTTGAAAATTTCATGAACGTTGTAAATTAGGGAATGTGATTAACTGCAATCTTAATCCTAGGAAACTAACAATAATAGTTCGTTGCTTATTGGACGATGTTACTACTAAAATACATCAATAAGATAAAAATTTTAATTCGCGATTTATTCGCAAGAACTAAATTTTGTTAGATGAGAATAGTCAAATATCTTTTTCGGCTTCTTGCGTCAAAATTTTTTTACGCCCACAAAGCCCATCTTTTATTTTACTTGTTAATTTCATCATCGAGCGTCCTTAGTTGTTTATTCATTTATTTTCTGTTTTTTCCCGTCAAGTCTTTTTCTGCCTCTCTTATCAAATCTTTTCTATTAAATATTGATTGTGCGCTTGGAATAAAAATAAACAAATGTCATACAGTAGAGAATGAATTTAAAATACAGCCTCGGAACATCCGTATCACGAAAGTGATCGCAGCCGATATACGTGCGTAAAGGGTTCATATCGAATGCGATCTCACGCGTGGAACGCACATGTGTCGAGATCGATTTATAAGATCACAAGAGGTGCCGGGGTGACCATAATTCATGTAGATTCGCATCTCGGTATCATCGCTTCATAATTTTTCAAGCACGGCCTGTAATTGTAGGACGTGCGCGCGTGTATTGTCGTGCGGCGAATCATAACTTAGCAGCCCGACGCCGCCGACCGACCGAGCGAAGAACACGGTGAACAACGCGAAACTTCATATTTCACCGAGTCGACATACACATCGGACTTTCGTACACGCGTTTGCTCGAAAAAATTCGCGTTTAAAGGATTAAATTAAAATAACACAGAATTCATTTTTGTGCACGCTCAGTGACAAATTTCAGATATTTCGAAAAGAGTCGGTAAAAATGTGGCTTTTCCAATTCATCCTTTTGGGCGAATTATATCGGAATAAATAATGAGAGAAGAATGAGTGATTATAATTGCGATTATATTATCACGAACAAAATAACATTAAATCTGAAGGTAATAATAAAGGTAATGATAAAGGTAATAATAAGGTATAATAATAAGTATATTTATGTTGCATATTTCTAAAAACAAAGCTAAATGAAACGAATTTTTAATCACGATTATAAATGCGTTATTAATATTTTAATATCGATGTGTCAGCACAGAGCGAGCTTTATTCGTGAATCTTATTCGATTTGAAGTAATCAATTCGCTGGTTAATCATCTGGTGCCCCGCGTTCAATTCGCTGGTTAATAATCTGGTGCCCCGCGCTTAATTCCGTCGCGGTTGATTCTCGCGTAGCGCGATTTCACGCGCGATTTCTACCGCGTGTCAGCCCGCGTGTGTGGCCAGTTTCACCGGCTCTTCACCCGTTTATTTTCACTCATCGACAGCGTCGAACGGCGACCCGAAAACACGCCTGACAGACGACGTCATTTTCGTGAGCGGGACCGAAAACTTTTCGGTGGTTTTGAAATCCTTGACAAACGCTCGCCGGTAATTGGATTCGTTTTATGAAGTTCCAACGAAACGCCGAGATGACCCTCCACACCTGCATTCCGCTCTCCCGCTCCCCCCCCCCCACTCACCCCCTATCGTTCTCCAGCTCCGATCGCTATTAATTGGGGATGGCGGCGGATGAGTCGACCGTTTGCGGGGCGCGGACTCGAGGTCGGGGTGATTAATTTGATTCAATTACAAACCGGAGCAGATCCGGGGCATCGATTTTATTACCATTCCGCCGGCATTCGTTCCCGCCGTCCGCGATCCGTCGATTTTTCTCACTCCGCAAAAAAAAAAAAGACGGAAATTCCGAGGGCGACGACGGGATTGACTTTTGGAAGTATCATCTGAATTTCGCGATCATTAGTTAAGCACGAATACGCGACTGTAACGAAACTCCCCAAAAGTTTCGGAGATCGGATTAATATTGGATCAATAAAATATTAAAAGAAACATTTACATCCATATATCTTCCTCTCGTTAAGTACATACACGTAATCTTTTCCTTATAAAAAATCTCCGAAAGAAAGCTGCTCAATCGATACAGAGCATCAGTTACATCTTTGTTACAATTTCGCATATTAATTATAACATAGATGCAATGTAACTAATGCTGTGTGTCGACTGGATGTCTCTTTAATCTCTCAAAGCTCTTAAAAAACGAGATCGATTGTATACTTTTCCTTTTTAATTGTCTCGCATATCACGCGCTCGACGAGGCGAGTCCGGGTATTTTTTGTTCTCTCTCGTCTAGATCTTCTGAAAGAAGACACGCTCCAGCAGCCACGCGGCACGCGCTCGTTCGCGAGATCCGCTCGCGTACACAATCGCGCGCCCAGCACGTATGCGGCGTACGTATGTACGTCGGTTACCTACCTACTTACGGCGGGTTCGGTGATACATGGAGGTCGCACCTAAATTTCCCCAGAGAGTCATTCGTCTCTCGGCTACTCTCTCTCTCTCTCTCTCTCTCTCTTTCTCGCTTTCTCCCTCTTCCCTTCTCTCTGTCTCTCTATCTGTCTTTCTTTCTCAGTCCCTTGCTACAGAGTCTCTGTCTCTCCCTTTCTCTGCCGACTTTCGCGCTTTCCTCCCAGGCCTCTTCATCCCTGCTGTCCTCCGACCAACCCTTCCGCGTTCCCCCGAGCGCTCATCTGGCCAATGTGTATTCCGCATTCGGCGTTGATTCCTGCTAGCTCGCCGCACTCTCGAGCCCCGAGTCCACGTGGAATTATCAAGATTGCGGTTCGCGGAAACGGCGCTAATGGATTTCGAGATATTACCCCGGCTGTAAACTATATATACGAAATAACGCTCGTGTGTGTGTATGTGTGCGTGACAGACACTGGGTGTCTGTGTACATTTATGCGGATGTATATACATTTTCGACAGGTATCAAAACTATTTACTTCGAGTCACGAAATAAAAGTTCGAAGCTGCACAATTTTCGGTTATTTAATTAATCATATCCTGTTGTAATATGCGAGTCGACTGTTAATTGAAAATATTATAATAGATATAATGAGACAATATTTGTTAGCTGTTTCTATTTGCCTCTCTTTACTTTGTTGATCGAGTCTTTTCTACGAAATTTTCTATTTCTCCGAAACCCTTGCCTTAGCTGTTTTCCATTCGAAAACACTCTTTAATAATCATTTTTATAACTATTACATTTACAAAATGGATATTTTACACTTACTTTTTATTTAAATTATATTTTTCTTTAGAACTTTATATAAATGTTCTTTTACGTCTATATATCTTTCAGCATTTAAATATACGGACTTCAGAATTAAACTACAAAGAAAGAAAATATTGTTTATATGTGAAACTAAAAGAGTTAAAATGTCATAACATTGTAAGCACGTAACACGTAACACCGGAAAGCAGCTTGTAACACCTTCCTTCCAAGGTGATCGCGGAAGTGGATTTGTAGCGGAGGAACCTTTTACGCGTGTCACCCTTTCGCTGGGCGCGAATAACCGCGGGTCGTTGTAAGAGAGACTTTCACGTGTGTATGTATGTAAAGATATGTGTGTTAGGTATGTGGCTCGTAATACTGAACCTGAAACGGCAGTATAAAAGCCTGGCGCGGAGAGCGCGGTGGTTCGCCACAATTTCCTCGGGATCGACGCAGCCGGTGTTCTTCAGCTTATTAAGTTTTATGAAGGGGCCCGTTGCCAAGGATACTGAAAAAGAGAAGAAATGACAGACGGTTCAGAGCCTGTCCAAATTTACAAAGATATAGGTCGCAGCGTGATTTTATCGGCTCTAAAATCGTAAATTGCGCTCGTCTGACCACTCGTGTCTTTATCTACTTCGAGAACGCAATGTAGAATAAATGTAGTTTTTGTTATCAACTAAGTGATGACTGTGATAAAACATGTTTTTCTTATCTTTCTTTTTTATCTTTTAATTTTGGAAAGATAAGCATTATCAGTCATCACTTGTTCGACAACAAAAACTGGATTTAATAATATTAAAGTGTGTATACGAAATGCTTCGTATACATATGTAGAATACTTTTTATATAATATCGAAATAACTCCTGTATTATAAATTTAATTTATTTTATATTTCTTTGAATATTTACTTAATTTATTTATATAATTCTGTGTATTATTTTAATTTAATTTAATAAATTTAATTAAAATTTCATTAAAGATATTAAATTTATTAAAGTTTAATATTTGTATTTATTTCTCTCTATACAATCAAACACGGTCGACAATAATCATTGTGAATATTTGACTCTTCGTATCTTCCATTAAATTACTCTTTTCAATTTCTTTTTATCATTTTTCTAAACATATATGCTAAGTTTTAATAAAATAAACTTGATATTACAATTTGTTCTATCAACAAATTTACGTTCTCAATAAAGACAGCATTTGCCATATCTTCATATTGAAATAAAAAAGACAGTATTATAAAATAAAAAATTTATTTTTGTTGGTTCGTTATCTGACCTGTTCCAAAATTCGACATATCACGGATAAGGTCTTAAGGTTAACATCTTAACCCTCGGACAAATGTCGGATCTTAAATATCCATATAAACTCTGCTCGGTTAAACGAAGCAATTTGTAGACGATCTCCCGTGCCCACGCAATCCCGCTGATTCATGAATTAAACAGCGCCGCTTCGTTTCCACCTTTGCGTGTGTGCGAAAATAGCGCAGAGGGGTTGTTGCTTCGTGCACGCGTACGCGTTCGCGTTCGCGTTGCCCCGCTGCTCAATGTTCTCCTATCACCACGCACAAAAATGGCGAAAAATGGCCGGAGCCAACAGGGAGGAAGATGAAGTCGGTCCAATTACCAACAACCTACCGGGAATTTGGATATTGCACTTCCCTCCGTAGTGGATTCTTCCTGGCTCGGAAAGAGTTAAAAAACGAAAAAAAAGAGTGACGCAACAATATAGTTGTAGAGATGTTTCCTCCATTTTTATGTCGAAAATTAAATATGTATTTCTTACGACGGAATTGATTGATTTTGCAATCGCTAATTACGAAAATTTATAATAATTATTATATTATAAAAAAGTAAAATCTATCTGAAAATTTATGAGAGTTACAATATAGTTTCTATTTTTGCTTTTAATATTTAGCATTATTCAAAAATATTTAGTTTTATTTAAAAATAAATAATTTATATGAATTGCAGATAACGTCATCCGACTTGTATATTATAGTTTGTTATTGTAGTGATACCACGATCTTTATATACATATATATTTGTACAATACATTTTTCATAAGAGCGTCAGGAAATATGCAACAATATTCAAATGTTCGCTTAGATTAGCAGTATCACTCACGGTCTTACAAAAAACATGACACGACACATACACGATATACATATATATATATATTAGTTCGAGCATGCGCAGAAAGCGTTTAGTACTTCTAACGCCAATTTTATCTTCATTTGGAGGACGCCATGTGTATATGTGTATATATTGAAACGACGATCACGATCATAATGTCATGTCGTGTCATGTTTTTTATAAGTGAGTGATACTGCTAATCTAAGCGAACATTTGAATAGCGTTGCATATTTTCTGACGCTCTTATGAAAAATTTATTGTACAAATGAATATCGAATGAAGTTTTGTTCCATATATTATGTTCATATTACTTTGACGTCATATATTATTCACGATGGTGCGTGCTGACAGCTTCGCGATAATTTATTTGTTATATCCGCGCTTGATGGATCTGCTGTAACGCGAGCGCGATGGTGGAGCGGTATTTTCGTAAAAATACCATTCGGCAATTTATCCGCCACGGGGAAATGCTGAAACAATTGATAGAATAATATTTAGCAATCGAATAACCGCGTGCTTATATAAACGTGCAATGTGTTCTCGAAATATTTGTTGTTCTTCAATAAAACGTTAACCATCCCCCCTCTCATTCCCCGATAAAACCTAGTTGGCTATTTTTTATCTATGCTCCGTGCACCGGCAACGCCACCGAGATACTACTTGCACCAGTCGAGCGGCGAACAAACAGACAGAGTTTACACGTAGTATGAAAACGCGAGCGAGCGGTCCGTTGATTACAGAATGCAATTAATTAGCGATTACTTGCCGGAACTCGGCTCGGAGCGGCTGGATATCACTGCCAGGGTAAAGTTTCCGGAATCTGCCGAGTGTCCGTGCTTATCTAGCCGGGAGGGGGGGGGGTGAATAGACTGGTGCGGCGAATAGCCGCCGCCGAATAACTTTGGCCGGGACTTTGTCGCAAGACATTGTCGACCATTTCGGCTAACGCTCGTCACATTACATCGTACACCGTACGTATAGTATACCGGCCACCCACACTGTATCTCGTCAATTTACCCGAAGTCCCTGTGATGCGCACCGACATCAGCAAGACGACAGTGCGACCGCAAGACAGCATCTTGTTCCTTGGGTGAAGCTCTCGAGATCCATCCGCCAACTTGAACAATGTAGGGACGTAGGTACCACATCTGCAATTTCACAAACAAAATTTGCTGAGGTTTAATTTTCTTAATTGGTAAAGATTATATTATCGATATAATCTGAATTAATTTTGTCAGAGACAAAACGAGTCTTTCACAAGAAAATTTGAAAAATAGTCGAAATATCTCGCAATGGTTAATATTTGACTAACATTTCACGGATATATTCCTAGATATGTTTGAAATTGATATTTTTTTTCATATTTTGATATTTCATACTTCGTTGTTGCAGTTTGTGATTCAATCACAACTGAGGTTACTGATGAAATAAGATCCATTAAGGGAATCTGCTATCCATTCACGTCCATTTATACTCGAAATTTAATTTACGAGAAACTTTTCGATACGGAATGCGATCAGAATACTTTGGTAAAGAATCCGGAACTTTGAAGGCGGCATGAAGTTATCGAAAATATTCAAACTATTATTTGCTATTTTTTGAATAGCTATACACAATCCAGTTCAAGTTTGTTGCACAATTCAATTAAATAGTTTCTTGTACCGTACACCGTACAAATAACGTAAATGAGTTGCAAGCGGTTTCTCATAAAAAATTTTTTCGCGATTATTATCCGCGTCAAAAATTAAAACGAAACAGGGCCCGTTTTGTGTGCGTGTTGCGCGTATGTGTAGAAAATTTTTCGCGAAAACTTCGCTTACGAGCAACTTAGCGTACGTGGTGTAGACGAGGCGAGGAGGGTGACAGAGAAGCGTCGGGTGGTAATTACTCTAATGACACTCGGGGATGACGTCGCGGTTTATCTCCTCCCGCCGTCGTCGTTGTCATTCTCTCGTACGTGTGAGAAGGATGTGCCGAAGTTTGTCGTTTCAACATCCGTGCGGTATTCGACGATCGTCGTCCTCGCTCCTCCGTTAGTCACGTGTCGATTTTCCGGATACAATTAAGGTCACAATTGCGCGTGACAGCAATTCCCCTCGGTCCCCTTCCTTTCTTTGGGAGATGCTTGCCGTCGTAATTGCTTAATTCGCTGGTGACGGGGAATAAGGAAAAAGAGAAAGAAAGAGAAAGAGGGATCTGACAACGTATCAACAGTATTGGCCGACAGTCTTATCGATATCATGCCGTAATAGATTTTATATATAGAGCAGTACCTATATGAGATTTTTACGAGCATGATGAAAAAAAGAGATTACGGAATTGCGTCTAAGTCAAACAAGTTATCGCATGAAGTTGAGTACTTTATGGCTTGTTTTAAGATTAACTATGTGATAATATTTACATGTGACTTGTGATAGTGTCTTTTCTATTTTATTTATTACAAGTCCTAGCTATAAAATTGAAATCGTAAAATCATTCAGTGACATAGTGACTTCGTTACGTGACGTCGCAATTTTTCTAATAAATGTTCTAATAAACATTATCTAAACCTAACAATTTTAATTTGATCATATTTATTTATCATTTAAATTATTTTAAGAAATATTTTTTTAGCAATATTTATCGTAAAGTAGAATTTTTTCGCATAATTTAGTGCATTTGTACATTAATATGATAATATTTGTTATCTATATAAATTTAATATAATTTAATACAATAATATAATTTATATAATATATAATATAATATAATACAGAAAGATTATGCAATAATGTTATATAATCTCTTCCCCCCTTTCTCTCTCTCTCTCTCTCTCTCTCTCTCCCACTCTCTCTCTCTCTTTCGCTCTCTCCTCTCGAGCAAACATATTCGGGAAAAGAGTACACATTATAAGATTTGTAACGATTATTCTCCGATTGTCGAGATGACATTTTAAATATGTTTTTAATTGAATAACTTTCATCCTTCACACACACATGCTTTATGACATTGGTCTGTAGTCTGTAGCTATGTTCACCATGTAATCGAGTCTATATAAGTCTTCAGTCGGTGCGCTGATCTTATTGTTGGTTTGAAAGTATTGTCTCGTGTTATCGAACACAGACACGGGTAACTGATGTCACGAAACTGACTGATTCGTAAGTGAATTACATATTATCAGATGTAAAACCTGTGAATTACTAATTTGTTAGCTAATCTCTTTTCTTTTTTATAAAAAACAGTAGCCGAAACATTTGTAATTTGTATTTATGTTTATAGTATTGAAGTTACTTTTACGTATTTTATATTATTCGTTTTAATATCGACCGTGGCGGTTTGCTCTTATTTGCCTCATGTTTCAAATTTGATTAAAATTTTCGAGAATAGTAATTAACATACTCTGACTTATTCAAAATAAAGATTTAAGATATTTAGCTTGATAATAATTCGCTTGAATATAAAAAAAAATGTTTTGATGACTTATATCGTTTGAGTTTTATTATTGTTATCTTGGTTGCAACACGGACCAAAAATAGCGTTCTAATTTTAAGTCTGTGTTTTCGTTAGCACTTACGTAACATGCGCGATATGTGTAATAATCTATTTTTTTGCGCTAAAAATACGAAATTATTACTTTAAGTAATTATAAATTAGAATTTTCGTATTAATTGCAGATAAATTTATTATTATAAGCTCATTATCATATTTTTGAATTAAAAGTTTATTAAACAATAAATAGACAAAAAGATGGAAAATATATAAATTTTTTATCATCTGTCAGCAATTGAATAATCTTTGGATTTGACAATTTATCAATTTATCAATTAATAATTAAAATGTCATTAGACTCGTGAAAATGTCAACAAATTAATAAACGGCGATACGAGTCAGGCGCGGTACGTGGTGCGTAAGTAAAGAAATTAAATAGTTACAGAAGTAACAAATTACAATGTATATAATATACATATACATATATTCCAATTTAATAATTAATAATTAATTAATAATTCGAATAACAATTTCAGAAAACATTTCGACAGCCTCGAAGGCTAAAGATAATGTAATAAGCGTTTATGCACTGTCACAAATAATTAATTCTCAGTTATCGTTATTTTTTTTCTAATGATAAAATGGCATTTATTATCTTAATGGTGTTCATTACCGCTGATGTGCAAACATGTTTTGGCTGATCAGTCACGGTTGTACTAAGAGACTAACATTATCTTGCAGAGAAGCACGAGACGCACACGTGGGATATCCCTACCGCTGTGACATATTAATAACGCACTTGTCGGCGATCGTCGGCGCGAATGGGCACTCGAGCAGTCGGCTGTACACCGAAGGAATAGATGGACGGGCTGATTGACTGACTGTCAATTCGTCGGCGAGGGCCCGGGGTGACGATCGATCGTTGCTTATAGTGAAATTATCGACTTGCATCCGCTCACCTTGAATTAAACTTACCTTGACACACCTGCGAAATGCAGATACATCCGTCCATCGTTCTCTTTTTGCTCGCGGTGTTCTCTACATGCTGTTTGGCCATCAATCAGACCGTGTTTGTGAATACCACTAAAACGAAATTCAAAATACTTGGTGTCTTCGGGCATCTTGGCAAGAGTCACTTCGACGTATTCAAGCCGCTTCTGGAGGAATTGGCTCGAAGAGGCCACGAGCTCACTGTGATCTCGTATTTTCCTAGACCCGACAATGCCAAAGCGAAAGAGCCGCTGCCCAATTATAAAGATATCAGTTTGGTGGATTCCAAGGTCGGCGTCTTCGTGGACGTTATAGATCTTAAACAGATTAGTCACCCGTGGTACCGTCCTCTGATGGAGCTCTACCTTTTGAGATCCATGGCAGATCAGGCGTGCGGTAGCGGTCTGCGGATTCCGGCCATCAAAGAGTTCCTTCAAACCGACGAAAAGTTCGACGTGATCCTCACCGAGAACTTCAACACTGATTGCTTTTTGGGTTTTGTTCATCGATTTAAAGCACCCTACATGGCCCTGTCGTCGCATCAAGCCATGCCGTGGCCCAACGACGACATGGGCAACACGGACGATCCTAGCTACATCCCGGTGATAATACTTGGCTTCACTAGACCTCTGACTTTCTTCAATCGAATGCAAAATGCACTGTGGCTGTTAGTGTATAAAGTGGCCTACGAGTATTGGTTCCGACCGATCGATCAAGTCGTCGCCAACGAGGTCTTCGGCCCGGATCTTCCTAAGCTGAAAGAACTCGCTCAGCAGTCGCAGGCGTTGCTGCTGAACACCCACAGTAGCATTCACGGCAGCAGACCTCATCTGCCGAACGTAGTGGAAATCGGTGGGCTTCACATTCCGTCCAAGATCAACCCGCTGCCGAAAGACATAGCCGAATTCCTTGACAACGCTCATGAGGGAGTACTATATTTCAGTTTGGGCTCCATGATCAAGATGTCTACGATGCCACCAGAGAAACTGGATGCAGTATTAAAGGTGATTGGCTCAATACCGCGGAAAGTGATTTGGAAATGGGAGGCCGACGAGCTACCGCGGAAGCTGGACAACGTTATGGCCAGGAAATGGTTGCCCCAGTTTGACGTGATAAGTAAGTAAAAAAAAAAATAAATATTCCTTTCTTTTTTTCATAGAATGACACGTGCTCAAAACTGAGCCGTTGTATTAGACATTGATTAGACTCTGAATTAGTTCGATCATCGCAAAAACACGAGATTAATCATTGCTACGTTGGGATAAGAAATTTAAGGTAATTTCTCTTCTCAAGATTTTAATAATTTCACGCAAAAATCCTTTTTGCTTTTATCTGTTATATGATGCGATGTTATTTATTAAATTTAAATTAGCGATTATTGTGATAAATGGGATTATAGCACAAAATTGAACGTTATAAGATGACGATAAACTAAGTATGCTAATCTGTAGGACGTTTCAAAGTGAAGTGCGTATTATATTATATCATTCACATCCATGTGATGATTGCTAGATTTTGCTTGTAATGCATAACATGACGCATAGACTACGTGTATAGCATGTTTCACGTATGTGTGGTAAAATTCACATACGCGTAGCATAAAAACATCGAATACGATAACAGTGAGAGTTAAGTCAAGATTTATAAAAGACTACATATACGAAATAAATGAGAATTGAGTATCAACACACAAAATTAGTTTATCGTAATTGCGCTGTATATACATAGTTTATTTCAGAATTTTTAATCACAATTTAGGAGAGTTCTCTGACGAATATGAGCAATGTAAAGTTTTGCTATACGAAAAAGCATACTTTTAACTTATTGCAAATTGTTTTAAGTACTGTTATTTATTTATTTTTTGCATTTTGTGCGAAAGCACATGCAAGCATAGCGCACGAATCTTACGGTTTGATATGTAAAGATAAATGCGTAATCTTGAAAGAAAATCTAGAAACTCGTTATGTTAATATTCATGCGCGCGAGTATTCACACAGAAATACGATGTTTAATAATTATAATCAGGTGTCGGACGTTTCAAAGTGCAGAAATGTGCGTGTTACATCATTCACATAATAATAATTAGATTTTGCTTGTATGATTTTGCTTTGAGACAGAAATTATAAATTCGCATCAGATTTATAATGTTTGTCTCAGTAACTCAGAAGAAATAGTGACCTCTTATCTATAAAAGTCTTAATATTTACTTAACTGCGTTGATTATACAACGACAAGATCGCAGCTTTAGAAAGATACGTGGCAATCTTGTTGGCACATTCATCGCAAATGATTAATATCGAACAGAAAAAATAGTTGCACAAAATATTCTCATTAAATACAACTTCATATTTTGTATATTTACACGAACAAATTGAGTTTTAATCTAAAGTGGCATATGAGTCTGTCAAGAATATAAATATGAAACAGTATAAGTATGTTTATAACAAAAATAACGGTATAATATATAATATCAACATATTTGGTTTTATCTTGTTACTAATGTTGTTACTAAAGGCCGGTTTTCACACGCAATGATTGGTGGCGCCAGGCCGCGCCAGTCGACTAACGCCAGTAAAAATGCAAGTGTAAACACTTGATACAAACTGGCGCTAGTAATGTGGCGTTTACTGGCGGTTATTGGCCAAAGCATATAACCTCAAATTTGGAGGTTATATGCTTGCTGTCATTTACTGTGTGTTTAATAAATGTTAAATATTTTCCATAGTATACGCCAATCACTGTGTAAATACTTGTGAGTTTGCTAGTCGGTTCTGGCGCCAATGAATGCCAGTCAGTTGGCGCCACTAATCATTGCGTGTGAAAACCGGCCTTAATAGAGGAAGCCAGCGAAAACGGAGATAATAAATACGACGAGTAGCATGTAAGAAGTCTTTTTGCCGGACGGCAATTACGATCGTAATTATAATTTACACAATAATTTTTACCTAGCAATTTAGATGCGCGGTCACGCTAGAGATGACGCGTCCTTGCGTCAACAATCGCGTCGATCGCGTGACAAATTTGCGGCGTCGATTGCGGTCGCAGGATAATTCTGCTTCGCGACATCCGTTTCCGCGAGTAGCGATCGCGCTTTTATAGCGCCGGGCCGAGCCAGCCCAGCCGCGCGCGCGGATTTGCAATGGTAATGCCTTGCTAAAAATTTCACCGGGTCGTTTTAGACACCGTTTGACATATTTTATTGCCTCCGCATCGCGCGCGCGCTCAATGATCGACGGCCGCACCTGCGCGCGCGGCGCCCGTTTTTATTTTTACCCCTATATTTTTTTCGCCGTTTTTGCCTTTTTATCTCGTTGTTCGCGGTTAAACTGTACCACCGGCGTAACGCGTGTTTTCGTTTCGTTCGTACCCTCCTTCCGGTCTCGCTCTCTCTGTTCTCTCTGTTAATAATAATATCCCCTCCCCTCCCCTCCCCCCTTACCAACCGGCCGGCTTTGCGCGTTTTCGTGACACAAAATTCAACGCTAATGGAAGTTTATTGATTACCGCGGTTACCCCTTTGTATTTGATAACCGGTTTTGGGTAATCTTTTCTTTGATCTATGCTGCTCCAGTTAATGCTTTGCTAAAATTCACCGTTGATTAATGTTCGGCAGACAAATTATTTTTCCTAAATATTTACTTTCTAAAATCAACTTTTTATAAAGAATGATATCATCACATCATCAGTTTCGCGATATTTAATTGCACACACGGATGTTCACAAATACATGTATATATATAATCATGTTTTTTCTCAACTTATCAGCAGAATATTTATGATTTTATTTATAAGACATAAACTTCTCTCTCCATTTATAACGATCAAAGATCGAACGCCACTTCTCATTGAATTATTACGCTGGATTTTTGTTAGACCGCGTAACACAATCGCCATTCGTAATTCTATGCTGAACGGGATCGCCTTACAGCCCATAAGCGTATTCCTGTCGACGATAGTATCGCTCTACTATTATGCGAAACGTAGGCTCGCGTGTATTCTAATGTAACAATACTATGCGATCGCAATTGCAGCCGCGCGCTGCAGTAGCAGCTCTCTGAGAATAGTATTCTTTAACGGGAAAAAGAGTCGACTTTAATCGACTTACGTACAAGAACGTCAAAGCCTCTCTCCTATTCTTACATTTCTTTTTTAAGATAAGTATAATGTAAATAATAGAAGGAAAATCGGGGAATTAAGGTAATTATATAATTGATTATATAATTATTATAATATAATATATCATAAAAATATATTATATTATAATTAATCATAATCAGAAAATTAGCAACGTCAGCATAATATGATTATAAACAAATCTGTTAATTTGCCTGAAAAGTATTGCAATCGATTGGTGTTAAATTAACTCAAGTGATTTTCAAGAATATTTCTGTTGTTTATATTGCATCATAACTAGATTTATTTTGCGATTATAAAATGTCAAAAAATGAAATGTCAGGTTCTTGAAGTATACTTTCATAAATTCCACATTAGTGAATACGAGAAAAATTTATAACAACGCGCACATTATATATATATATATGCATTTTTGAAAGTAATTTAATAAATTCGTAATAGAATATCGATATTGCTGGTGTCATAATGATATATAAGTAATTTTGATATTGGAATAATATAAAATTGAAATACTATAAAATAATTCTAATAAATGTAATCGGGATATATTAAAGTTATAATTAATAATGTGCTAGAAGATTTTTATACTGTATTTAGTACTAAAAATAATAACAGATAAAAGAAATTATTTGAAATTTTCGACAGTCACACAAAATATATTCAGGTTACTTGAGATTGTATAGAAAAGACTTTGACTATATAACATGGACTGCTAGCAGTAACTTTATAGACTGGTAGTTAACCCCATGCAACGGTACAGACAGAGAGGGACGTGTATACAACATCTTTGATATTTATATCTCATCCCCATCGACCAAAGATCGGCAAATTTAAATATACTTTAAGTTGTATCTACGGATGCATTCCGTTTCACGCATGATGAGCATAATGCATTATTTATCCTTGTTGTTTACTGAATGTTAAACAATTGTTGACATTGCATAGTTAATTACCAGTCTGAAGTTGCTGCTAGCAGTCCATGTTACATAATCAAAGAGAAAAGACTAGGAATCTAGGCATGACATACAAATCGTTAAAAATTCCCACATGACGAACAACGAATCCGTATTGTTATTATTTCTATAGAATGCATTTCGGACATTCGACTCGTCGACGTCTATCGGCTATGACCGCGAGAAATTGGAATACTTCCGGCAAGAGCTGGGATTCCCAGCCAGCGCGCGCGGTCAAACTAATCGCGCCGAATTGCGGCGCGGAATCGGTCCGCGTGCGCGAAACATCGAAAGCGGCTTTTGAATCCCCGAAACCCGGGGTAGCTACGGTATTCAGTCCGGGCCACGCGGGGTTGAGCGCCAAATAGTTTTGAACGGTCAAACCGGAAAACGGCTCCGGCATATTTGAGGAGCTTTCGGTGCTTCTGAAAACGATTCGCGCCAATCTGGCGAATGTCGGGTTAATTGGCCGGCAAAGTCGACATTGAAGAGGAATACCTTCTACTTTTAAATTTTTATCAAGAGAAAGAAGAGAGAGAAAGAAATATCGCAGCGTGTACATTTTGTATTACATAGTAAAATTAAATAATTAATGCTAAATGACGCAATTCTTCTTATACATAGGTTATTCAATAAGAAAAATACAGCATGCAGAAGATAATTCATAATACAGTAATATTTATTTATGGATTTATTGAAGCATCAGACTTGCAATCTAATTTTAATTAATTTTTATAACGGTATATTCGAATAATTGTTATGTGTACTCTCAAAATATAAAAGTCAAATTTTTTTATTAATGTATTGTTTGATAAGATAATCAATGTAATCATGTTTCCATTGCACTCGATGAAGACAAGTGATTTGTTATTATGGCCGGTATTCATATATAGTCGGTTCTTATATTTAAGACCGTCTTAAGGACAATCTTAAAACGTCATGAACTAATCACAGAGCCGTATTAGCATCTTAAGACATTACTTAAGACGATCTTGAAATAAAAACCGACTATAAATACCGGCCTATATC